TTGTGAAAAGCAAAAAAGAAATGAGAAAGTCTAAGAACTACGGTATATGTACTGAACTTTAAAACCACTGGAAAATTATAAGGTCAAAGGAGCTTTGAATCAAGGTACCAAGACACTCGATCATTAATCTAAAAACAGATTCCTTCTTTCTGATTACACATCATATTTATCAACACTGATGATTACATGTAAGGGATTAAATCCTAATTCTATTGATCAGGTTATTTGATGGGATTATTATTTTTGGAACTCTCTGATCTAACTAAATGCATGTAGTTCATAGCCTGGAGTTCATACATGTTATTACATACATGTAGTTATATATCTTGGCAGCATTTTGAAAATATAATTGTTTTATAGAATTGAACAGATTACAGATTTGGCATCATGATACACCATGACATCTCATTTCTTCTCAGCCCAGGTGAAACAGAAAGATGCTGTGAGTATCAGAATGCAGATTTGGTTAGAATGAATTACCCAAACATGGGTATTGTCAAACTTATCCCCGATTTAACAATGATGCAAAAAGCCATCCTTTGATCATTAGTTTAATCACAAGTTCGGGTTATGTGGATTATAAAATAAAAGCTCTTAAAGAATAATCCATTGTCATTGAAAATGATACCGGGACCCTCATACTTCTCCCGGGATATTTCTCTTTAAACCAAACTCAATATTTGGAACAAACTCTCTGATAAAACACATTATTCAACCCCCCGCCCAATGAATATACTCTTTGTTGTAAAATAAAGGTAATTGTGCTTATACACAATTTAGCGCTTGTTTCGAGATTCCCTTGCAAAATTAAACCCTGATTCAATCCATTCCTAGCAGAACACCAACCACCAAACGCTGAAAAAGGACACATCATAAAGTGAAAGGAAACAAAAGTACTATTTTCAAAATGCCAGTTTTCAGTGGGGGGGGGGGGGGGGGTTCAAGTACAAGGCATTCAAAGGTCCTTTCTTCTTTCTTTATTGGTTATGGGGGGGGGGGGGGGGGTGGGGATGGGGGCGATCATTCACCCATCGCACCCCCCCCCCTGGCTACACCTTGTATATGATAAACACAGACAAAAAAATATTTGCATTTTATGAATTTTAGCGGTCATACATACTCCCAACTTTTCTAGTTATTGTGACCATGGGCTTTCAACTAGAAAAAGCCCATGTTGTGACGTCACGTATCATTTTATGCATCAAGGGGTAGACATCATTCAAAAGCCATAATTATAACTGGGTCGGTCGGGGGAAGGTTTGCATACAATGCAATTTCTACATGCAAGCTCATTTTCACATATGCACATATAATTAATAAAGTTGATTCCTTGGGAATTCTAATTGGGTTTATAAGCGTAACAAGGGGAGCGGGGGGTTCGCACCTCCTCCCCACAAGCAATAAAATACAAACATTAGGTAGATGAAGAAAAGAGCGTTAAAATGATTTTTAGTTTGAAGCTTGCATCATTTTTGTAAACATTCAAAACAAATCTTTTTTGCCTCCCTTATGTCCCTTATGTCACGACTGAAAACCGCAAATATTTTGGCGATTACACCCCCCCCCCCCCCGACTGAAAGCTGGCTACGGCCCTGGGGTTTTATCAAAAACTATATCATTAACATTTTATCATTATGCAGAAATCCAAAATGGTAAATATGTTGCATTTATTGAAGGAATTCAACTGTAAAATATATATGAATGTTTGATATGAATATGAATACATCCATACTCTCAATATCCAATCTTTTGATATAAGATGTTGTTTCAAAGGCAATTGAAAACTTTAATCTAACTAAATCATTAAAGCATTTCTAATTGCTAATTATGTGTATCAACACTTCGATTACACCTCAGCCGGAGATTAAATCTTAATAATTTGATCAAAGGGATTGTAATTTTCCCCAATTCTCTTATCTATGTTGCTATGTGTATACTCGTTATATTGTGTCCGGTATGTGTTGATAAACCAAAGATATGTTTTTTGGATATCAACATTCAGAAAAAAGTGTAATATACCATTCTAGATACTTTTGTTACATCCTTCATAGCAGGGTTAGAAAACTCAAACGGGTACCAGTTTTGATTATATGGTAATGTTAATATAGGCAGCATGGTTTAAATAATTGGTTGAACTGGAGGGGGGGGGGGTGACAAGGGGACATTATCAAGGTAGTTCACAGGGGCGGACTTAGACATTAGCAAGGGGGTTAGGACATACTCTGGAAAACGGTCTTCTTTTAGGCTCTTGAAACACTTTTGCAAAGATATTTTCGGCATTATAAGGCCCGTTTGTTTGAAAATAATGTTGCCTAAACTAAGGCCTAAACGTGGCTATACAGAAGTAAATATTGTATTTCATGAATTCTAAAACAATTCCTAAACATCAACCGTAATCATGGTGATCCGCAGTTGTAAAAACAGTTCAAAGAAATAGACGGATTGTTAAATAATTATTATCTTATTTTACACATGTTACTTAATCACTTCAATTATGTGGACTTACAAGTTTTCAAAAACATAATAAGGTTCGTTTAACGAAGGCCCGGACTCATCAAAACAAAAGTCTTTTAAGGCTCTAAAGTCTTTCGAAATTTCCAACAGTATAATACAATACCAGGGGTATATTCTAGTTTGATTTGTATTACACTAAAAATGAATGTTATAATCGGACATGATACGGGTCACTATCATCATTTGGGAGAAGGTGATTAATAGTTATATTTAGTACATGTGTAAACCTGTGGAATAAATTGTGCTGTTGCTTCAAGCCCATAGTCCAGAGGAAAGTTGGCTAAACATACAGCAAGTATTTTCCCAGGGGGCATTTTAAAAAAATTTCCAGTGAGATTTATATTTCAAAATTTGGCCACAAAGTCACTCCATGTTAAGAATGGTGAAAATCAAACGATTATATGATTCATTTTTCATATGAATCACGTATGATCACTGAAGACTGGATTCATTTGTTAACTATTTTGAATATGAATCCTGCTTGAATCATGGTTGCAGGATTCATTTGTAAAGTACATTCCGTATGAATCCTGCGCGAATCCTGAAGGTTGGATTCATTTGTAAACTACTTTACATATGAATCCTGCTTGAATCCTGGCTACAGGATTCATTTATAAAGTACCTCCCATATGAATCCTGCACGAATCCTGAAGGTTGGATTCATTTGTAAACTACCTTCCATATGAATCCTGCACGAATCCTGAAGATTGGATTCATTTGTAAACTACCTTCCATATGAATCCTGAATGAATCCTGAAAGTTGGATTCATTTGTAAACTACCTTCCATATGAATCCTGCACGAATCCTGAAGGTTGGATTCATTTGTAAACTACCTTCCATATGAATCCTGCACGAATCCTGAAGATTGGATTCATTTGTAAACTACCTTCCATATGAATCCTGCACGAATCCTGAAGGTTGGATTCATTTGTAAACTACCTTCCATATGAATCCTGCACGAATCCTGAAGGTTGGATTCATTTGTAAACTACCTTCCATATGAATCCTGCACGAATCCTGAAGGTTGGATTCATTTGTAAACTACCTTCCATATGAATCCTGCACGAATCCTGAAGGTTGGATTCATTTGTAAACTACCTTCCATATGAATCCTGCACGAATCCTGAAGGTTGGATTCATCTGTAAACTACCTCCATATGAATCCTGCACGAATCCTGAAGGTTGGATTCATTTGTAAACTACCTTCCATATGAATCCTGCACGAATCCTGGCTACAGGATTCATTTGTAAACTACTTAAACAGCGAATCCTGCACGAATCCTGGAGGCAGGATTCATACAGGATTCATATGCGCATATGAATCCTGCTTGAATCCTGCCTCCAGGATTCGGGGATTTGATTCACTTTTTTTGCTGTGTTCCCGGCTCAACGATGACGTCAGAAGGAATGACCATATATAGAACGTCGGTCGAATTTGGCCGACGAACACTGATTGGCGCGGTGAGTTCACAGGTTTATTTTAGTTTGAAAGAGTGAAGACGAAGCTCTCTCTTAAGAAGTGAAGTCAAACGAATGCAAATCTATGACCTTAATGTTTAACTCAAAATATAAGGAAATGTGTAAATACATCAATAATGAACTGAGCTAACGATATTGTAATGTATGTTTGGGTATATATTTTTGTTCACTTTTCTAATTTACAGTGTTTATCTACAAGTTGAACTTTCAATCAGCGCTACGATATGGCAACATTAAGTGTCAAGCCAATCAACCAATCATTGTTGGGCCGGGCCGGGACTTTTCATTTCTTTTCGACTTTTATCTTGCCAAAAAAGAAGTAATGTCTGTGAACAATCGTATAAATTGATATCGTTACGAATTAGTTGAGTCCTCAAAATTAGTAAGTAGATAGACAAACTTGGTGTACATTTATTAGCGTCAAAACCTTAAGGGGAGGGGGGCACTCAAATTGTGCTTTTATTCGACATTCCCCTTTAAGTGTATCTTTCTATCAAGTAGTTTATAAACATCTAGGATTGTGCCGTTTCTAAGAACTATTTGGGACGTGAATGGCATCTACCTTTTTTAAGATACTATTTTTTCATACCGGTACTTGGAATCTTAATGCCTTAATCATTCCCCGGGTTTTTATTATTTCATGGTAGATAGCATTGACAACTGAACAGCGAAAAAGCATCCGATGGGGAAAGCAAAATGACATTCAGGGTCAGAGTCGGGATCTTCATTTAGGCGAGGCACAGGCGAATTTAGTTGAGTCAAATCTAGACTAAAGAGGAGAAAATATTTCGTACAGTATAAGTCGGTGAGGCAGTTGTTGTCCATTGCATGTCTGGCAATGCATTTTCCCTGCTTGCCTCTTCCAAGTTTACGCCCGTGGGATTTAGCGAGCCCTCTTAATTATAACAAATTATATATTGTAATTAAAAAATAAAGCCCCTTCTTTCAAAGCTTGGAAATGGCGATTAAAACATTAAATAATGTAAATATTTAGCAAAACCCGTACCTTCGTTCTCGTTTTTTGCTGGGATCATGGAAAACGAAAGCAGGCGAAGAGCAGCGTGAACCTTGGTGAATCGTTGATCATATGGTATAACCTGGATCTGAAACGTTTTTATTATGGTATACTATGCATCAACGATATTATGCAATGTATACATTTCAGAAAAATCAAACTGCAAACTTGAAAATCTGATTTTGTTGATGTGTTCACAAAGCAGTTCCATCCACTATGTTATAAGCCAAATGCGAGTAGGTACAGGCCCGTAGCCAGGGGGGGGGGGGGGGGTTCGCAGGGTTCAGGCGACCCCCCCCTGACCAAAGATTCTTTCAAAATCATGCAGTTTTCACCATTTTGAGCACTTCTCAAGTGATTTTAGCCATATTTGGGCCAAAATTGTCAAATGTGAACCCCCGTGGAAATTTTTGAAAACTGACCCCCTTGGCAAATTCTGGCTACGGGCCTGAGGTAGTTACTAGTTTCACCACCAGGTGGCAAATTCGACTCAGATACCATGATACATATGGTAAAATTTTACATGGTCTAACTTGCTTCAAGGCCCTTGGCTCCAATGTTGTAGCCAATGTTCTTCTAACTTTACATCGCAAGTGCGATCGTGAACCAACTTACCTTCGCACGTGTTGATATAGCGTCATTTCCCTGCATTGAGTTCACAGATATGTAGTCGTAATTGTATTGTTTTCCAATCCTGTAATTTATCAGTCCGATGTTTGCATTGGCCACGCTAATGCACATGTATCCGTGAAAAAATAAACATAAAATTAAAAAAAATTCAATCTTTGGAAGCTCCATCATAACATTCATTTTAAATCACCCTTTTGTTATTTCATAATCTTTTAATTAGACGGGCCACATTGGGCGTGCTCAAGATGCAATAATCTCACGCAGCTAACTATTCTCAGATTTAGATTAACCATATTTGGAGTTTGTTGACAAGGAAGTAAAATTTTGAGAAATTGCTTTATTCAGGTTAAGTGATCAAAGCCCGGAACATGTATAACACTACACCGTCCCTATAAAGCCTTTTGTCATGTGTCAATAATACAACAATAGCGATATTTATGGAGCACCTTTCAATCATTACCAAGTAAGATTGATTGTTTCGACGAATCTTCTAGAAGGGTTAAGTTAAATAAATAATCCTTCAAATTGGAGACACCGATGTCTGACAGAGCTAAAGCATTAAATTCAAAACGAAAAATCAAAACAACAAGCTCTCTCAACATATGAAATGATTAAATCTTAGTTTGCTTTTGTTGAAACATAAAAGAAATCAATTAGATTTTAACTATTTATTCCCAAAGCATTGTCTTAATATGTTTTTGCTTCGGTACCTTTAGATTTGACATTGCTTATATTAAATCATTTAAGTTAGTCCATTATATATGTAACAATTATTTCAAACTGACTTTAATAAAGATGCATTATTTATTTCAAGCGCTTATTATCGAACATTGCAAGTAAGGAATACGTCGGGATATACGCCATTTTGGTTCCTCAATAAAATGTATGTTCTGAGTGTCAAATAAGTGACCCTTCAAATAGTCGTTATCATTAAAATACATATGGCAACTTGTATAAAATACAACGTAGAAATAACTAAAGAACCACTGTACAGTAGAACTCAAAAGAAAATCATGTTTTGAAATATATTTCAGTTTTTTAAAACAACATAGCTGCCATTAAATGTAAGAGATACTAGAAAAATTGTTTTACTTTTACTTTTTATATTAGGTACAGTTTTACGGTTCAGCTTTTCTCATGATGCTGACTGTTGATCATCTAGGTCAAACATAGAGTTCCATTTAAACGAGACCGTAAAGCTACTATATTTAGCATGAATTCGACTGAAATACAAACATGTACAATTCAACCAACAAAAATTAAGTATCAGAATGGTAAGCTTAGTAACTTAATGACCCACATGAACACAAATCAAATTACCAAGAAATACCATTCAATGTCTATACAGAGAAAATGCTTTAGAGGATGTTTTTTTTATTTAATATGTAGTATTTGCACTTGACTTTTTTCAATGTTTGCATGTCGAAAAGCATTGTATTGATGCAAATAATCTTCAAAATCATGATACACAATTGATGTATTTGGGATTTCAGAAGAACTTATCACATTTAATAATATGTGTGAATAAGTTGGTTTTTCAGACATTACAATTTTTAATATTTTCTAAGTCGAATTTTCGACCCATTCCCTGACGTATGCTTTGGTCAAAATACATTCTGTGAATTCGGTTGAAAATGAATGACCAGGATATTCTTCAAATACTAAAGCCTCAGTCACATTTGCTACGGTGACCGTACGGACTATTATTTCTACGGCTGCCTTAGAAATTCTGTTTTCAGATTTCTAGTACCCTTATTTGCTACGGTAGCCAAATTACCATATTGGATTAAGTGGAAATAGAAAATCTACGGCGGGCGTTGTTATTTCCACAAATACAAAGACAGACACAGGGCGGCCGCGGGGCGATCCTACGACAGCCATTTTAAAAGGTAAATATTTTGACTTTGAATATTTTTACACGAGGTGAATGTTTTCCGTTATTAAATATAGAAGTTATCAATGGGAGGTTTTTGATACAAGGTATATCTTAGGGAAATACAATACAGCTACCCGAGAAACCGTAGGGACCGAGGGTTGATATATTGTATTTACCGAGGGATATACTAGTACCAAGTATCAAAAACCGAGCATTTATAGAGATTATCCTATATGAGGTTCAGGATATTGGGATTATCCCGAGGCTAATATAATATATTTGCCCGAGTGCCGCAGGTCCTGAGGGAAAATATGTTATATTGGCCAAGGGATAATCCCAATATCCTGAACCGACTATAGGATAATATGTTTATCCCATACCAATCTTGGTCATCTGGTTCAAATTGTTCAATCGTGGAAATATTTTGGAATATTCGTGTCCAGTTTTGTTTTCTTGGCCGTGGGTGGATTTTCCTGTTCTCTCAAATATTCCCATATTTATTTTCTCGAATTTTTGATTGATTAAGTGGATGCTCCTTGCTATCGAACAGATTCCGATTGTCTGTGTTTTCTCCATTGTCGTTTACAGTCATTACGCGAACGTTACAAATTATGAACAAATATGCGAGCGACGATTATGACGTAGCGGGCAGATATACTATATATGCCCGCTCGAAGCGGGACGTAAAGCTATATCTGCCCGCTGAGGAAAATATAAGTTTTTACAAACTGGCTTTATGTACCTGTAACACGTCCAAGTATGGGATAAAATGATACACTTAGTAGATTATGAGGATTAAGTATGCATTGGATGTTGTGAAACACTAATGGGATGATTGCAAATATTATTAATTACAATTACAATCAAAACATGAATATTTCTTGTGCAGTTTCGATCTTATATAATATTTTACATCGTTTATATCTTTCAGTGAACAAAAAGCTAGCAATGTTGAGCGAAATTCCTGGGGATTGTTGATGAGTGGGTGATATATATATCACCTGCTCACCTCAAAATTCGATTATATTCCCACAAGTTATTTAACTATACAACTAGTAAGTATGGGATGTTTTCCTTTATTCACCATTCATATTGTGTTCCAAACAAGGTGATTTTAAACACTACTTTTACACAGGATGCACGCCGCTCCAAAGAATGATATATACATTAACTGATATGCAATACTTGTATTAAACTCACTGGGATATAAATGTATAATATAAACATCTATACTAGTAAAATTACTACATTTTAGGTCATTTTTAAAAGTAATTATAATATTATTAGTCATTCGATTTTATTCAGTTGAAGTTAAACAAACTCATCAAAAGAAAATGTGTATGAGACTGGTTGAAAGAAGCCCGCCTGGTTGATCCCGGTAATGGAAGCATAATACTCTAAAGAATTGTCCAAAGCATAAAGTGTCAAGCCATTTTGTTCTGTTTCTATCCATTTCATGATGTCAGTTCCTCCTGGCGTTGTCCCTATTGTTAATTCATAGTAGAGGGCACTGTCAGCACTGAATACACGAATCCATGACAACCTGGCCGTATGCTCATCCAACCAAGAATGTGTTACAGCTGTACCTGGAAGAAATGTGGAGGCGATTTGTAATCGGCAGCTTCAAAACTCTAAGATGCGTTATATTGTATAAATGTTATTCAGTCTTTTGAAGCTACGTAATTAGTAGAACAGCGAAAACTTTGTTTGAAGATTAACTCGCAACAAGTTACGATTTATAATGAATTAATCATTGTCCATTGTTTTCATAACTATACTTAACAATAATCTTAATGAAGTATTTATAGCTAATATACGAACTAATCATATTTCTGTAAGGACATTCGTGTGGCAAATTACCTGTTATATTCGGTGAGTGAAATTCCGTGATGAACGATGTAGACACCTCACCACTCTGGACTCCTAACTGGTTAACGGCTAACACACGTATCTGTGATGGAAAAACAAATATATTCATACGTATAGAAATTTTAGTTAAGTCAGCTTAAAACTACAATACTGTTTAAATTGTAATAAATATGTGCGCCTTATCAATAACTGACACTATACAGTGATGCATCAAGTTACTTCACCTGATATTGTTTGTGTTGCTGTAAATTAAGCGAGTTGAATATAATTTGATTTCCACTCTCTGCATTAACAAGGTATGTTGAAAGCGTCTCGGCATTTCCTTCCGCATGTATGTGAATCTAAAATCATAGTTAACGAGTTAATTATAAAATGATTCAAACAACCTTCATAAATATATAAAAATAAATTCTACAGAATAATGTCGAACTCAGATCGCTTCTCTACCTCGTATGATTTGATTTCGTTGGCGCATGTCTCTTTGAAACCTCCCCATTTCACCCCGATAATACGAGGGTCGTTCAGGAATCCATCATGCAAACGATGCTGTGAAGATGAGTTGGTGACGAGAGAAATCGAAGCCTCAGTGTTGTCTGGTGGCTTGGACAAAACGGTAACGCCATTTGATGAGGACTGCAACCATAGACCACGTGCATTGAAACACCTGACTGTTGTATACACGGTTGTTCCATGTTCCACGTGTAAGTTGTCACTTTTGAAAACCATATGGGGTTCTTCATAGACGGGTCCGACTTGGCTGAACCGAACAATGTCATCAAGGCCGGGTTTGAGACCTATAGATGTTGAGATCATCATTTACGATATTATTTTTCATTATCAAACATTATATTAAAATCGAATATAACCAAAATCAAAATATATTCTAAATAAATATTTTTGTGATACTTCCCACAACTATTTATTGTCGAATGTACACAATAATACTATTGTATTTACATTTACAAATCGAGGCTATAAAACTATATGTAATATTTACCAAATGCTATTTCGCAGTGGTCCAGGGAGACCTGTTGATCCTCAACACGCCAGTTGGCGAACAGTGTCTGTCCACTCTGCTGGTATTCGGTATCACCTACAAAGTACATATTGGCGTTGCAAACAAATGAATTCATTTACCAATATACGGATTTTTAAATTTCATCCTATAGTATGTGAATGCATAAAGACATATATGGGTTTGTATGTAAAATACTCACGTGTGGAATTTCCATCATATACGTGTGTTATGACGGGAGGTGTGTGATCAACTACAATTGGTTCAGCATTATAAACCGACATAAGATCTGCTGCATTGCGAAACAAGACCGTAACGTAAACCTCCATCCCATCGATTAGTTGTAGCTTGCTGTTAATCCCATATCCCCGTCTCCCGACAGATGTAAATGGCTGAAGTTGTGTGCCACCTTGCACCAAACCTACAACATGGGCATATGATAAAATTATATAAAATGCTTAATGCTAAATCAATAAATGATGACTGTCGAAATGCATTTTTATATCATAATATCAAAACATACCGATAGCCCATGAAATATCAACAATAGGACTCTCTATGTCGACTGCCTCCCATTGAGCGTGTATAGACGACCATTCATTAATTTGCTGGTATGTCACTTGAATGGTTCCGTCGGAAGAAGCATGTGTTATCTCTTCTACCAAGACATCGTCAAACAACAAGCCCGAATTGTCCTCTAGTGTTTGAAGAACTATCGTAGATGTAGCTTCAGTAGCTCTGAATGTGTACATGTGCTTATGCCAAGCTATATTGGAACCATTCGACATGTGAACATTTGGGTTACCATTGTTAATTAGAGACATTTCCTGACGAGGATACACTCTGAATGTTTCATGGATGCCAGGAGCTTGTATTTGTCCATTCTGAATAACGTGACGAATGGAGGAATATGGAGGATGACTTACAAAAAATCGCAAAGCATAAATCTTTCCTGCGGCTGTGTTAAAACTTTGCTTTAAGGTTCCCAGCAAAAAACACGCCTTACGTCCATTTTTAAACTCATTGTTCTCGCTTGAAATTACTGCAGCTTTTGAACCATCTTCTATTTCCCAATAAATCGGTGCAGAATCTGCAGAGTTTATCCACAATGTTGCGTTATCATAAACAGAGAACACCGATTCGCCATCTTCAAACGATGGGTTTCTCAGTAGGTTTTCTCCCGATTCAGCAATCTGCATGATATCAGGGGGTGTCGTGTCTATTGAGATTCCATCAGAAACGGACATAAAGGAAGATAAGTCTGCTGCATCTATCGCATATACTTTTGTGTAGTAGGTCAGACCTATGTGATGTATAGAATAGAGTATATAAATATAACAATACTATCGCTCAATAGAGTTTTACAATCATATATACCGACTTTTGTCCTTGTTTAGGGATACAATGACGACTCGATTCGTTCAATCCAAGTTAGACATTATTTTTACATACAAAAAGTAATTTCAATTACTTACCGTGTTTCAGCTCTTCCGATGGTCTCATCACAATTGACGTTTGAAGACCCAATGACTTGGCAGGATATACGTCACAATCTGATACGCTAGGTGAAGTCCCGACACAGACAATATATCTAGATATGCCACTGTGCCTATCATAGAACCCATGCCATTGGGCAATAAGTTCTCGTGTCTGGTTGCTGTAGTCACTATCGTGTAACCCTTAAGTACGGAATACATTCTAGATGGTGCTATTGTATGTGTACATTTAATAACATTCTCAACGATTAATAAATAGTATAATCTATGCTACGTGCAACCGGATATGCTTAATTATTTGTAATAACGAATATTATTACAATCTATGGAACTAAATATATGAATTGACGAGTTTTTTCAGTAGATGCTTAAATTTTAAAATGATGTAATTGCAAACAAGCAAATAATCGATCCATATTATTCTATTTTTCTCCATGCACTTGTAACATTTGCATCACTCACGAATCAGTGAGTCCCTTAACATAAATTACTGTCTTACCATTCCCATCTATAACAAATCCTGCAGAAGGAAGTTCAATGTCCACCATGAAGCCATCTGATACTTTAGCAGTCTCAAGACCACCGTTAGATACAGCAATAACTGTACTGTAATACTGCTGACTAGGCTCCAGCTCGAGACCAGTGATGATAGCACTTGTACCAGTATGTATTGTAAACGTGTATGCATCATCAACTATAGCAAATGGGAAGATTAATGAAGTAGAAAAAAGAAAAATAGTATTATATGATGGTTTTGACAAGTTCATCAATGAATATCACAGAGACTTTGTAATAACTTTGATTAGTGTATATTCACATGGCAGAAATGATAGCATATTTCATGGCATCTTATAGAGTTATATAAATAAGATGCATGAGCAATTTCGGGTCATGCCTATTCAAATAACATTAATTGTATAAGTTAAATTCTTATTTTTACCTCGAGGTTTAGTTCCAATCCCGACAATGAAATGAGACAGGCCAGACTCCTTATCTGAGAAAACGTCTAACCAATCGACAGCCACAGTGTCGTGACTGTTTGTATAATCCTTGTCGTATGGAACATTTTCATCATCACTCTCTTGAATCTAAACAAGGACAATTCAGTATTAATATTCACTATAAGGTATTCAATTTAAAAAATCTACATGTCACTGTTATAAAGAGATAAATATTTGTTACGTTAGCATTATGATGTGAAACATTTATATGTACTGCACAACTTATTTTGCCTACGGTACGATTGATACAAATAAATTAAGTGTTTAATATTGCTCACATGCCGTATCCTCGAGACTATAGAAGGAGTGATGTCAATGACAATTCCATCAGACTGAAATACCGTATATGTAGAATCATCATACCATGCTCTTATGTAAAAAACATAACGATGTCCTTGTAACAACCGATCTAAAAATCAAGGTTAAACTATTTATAGCAAGCAACGTATGAATGTTTAAGAACACATATAAGTATTTTCTTTGTATAGAGAATAACTCCAGTCCAGTTTTTAATTTCTTCTACACCCATACCTCATTTGATACCCTTTGCATTCGTTTGACTTCACTTCTTAAAAGAGAGCTTCGTAGTTTAACTAGACTCTGCACGCAGGGTACTCATTTGATATAATAGCTATTTTATACTTCTGTCATGATGTTTCGTATCTGTGTTTACTTTCATGTAATACGCTAAAATCTTAACTACTGAAAGCAACGCTACTACAACAACTACAGCATAGTCATCATACTACGTCAACATCTTGCATGGCATTTCATTTTGTGAATCTAAAAAACTATCACTCCTATATACGATCTAGCAATGCATAATATGAGACATGCAGGATATGCAGTCAACTCAACTGTGGACCATCTGTAACAAAATCTAAGGATAGTCTTACCAACTGTAGGTGTTACTACAGCGTGGTTGTAGTAGCCAGCCTCGTACCAGATCCTGTCATGGGCAGGGTCAAACACTCCACTTCCATAGTATTCCCCCTCTACACCAGCAGAATATTCGAAACTACAATATGCAAGCTAGTGGGGCTAACTATTTTAAGATAAAAAGCGTTCATTCTCTTTATAATTAAAAATTAAAAATATTATTTTATAATTTCTACAATCTTTATAGGCTCTGTTAGACACATTCTGCAAATGGGTTGAATTATGGCATTTGTGATATTACAATTTTCGATTTATTTAAATACTTGTTATTGGAGAGGAAAAATAATGTTATTTTAAAATGTCGGGAATGCACAAGTGCAAACGTATACATCAGAGTATTTTCATTGATTTAATTAGTATTTTCAATTAATTTATTTTCATTTTCATAATCATTTTCATTGAGTGACATCCCATAACAGTGAAGTCACATCCATGCATATATTATGTAAAGTATTCATATGTTTACGATGTCCCTAATCTACAACCAATAAATATGTTTACCGTTTGATTGGCTTTCCATTTGTCTTATTAACACACCAAGTAGCCGCCAATAGACAATCGGAGTTAGTAACATCAATATCACCGGGTGTTTGAGATGATTGTTCAAGAAAACTGATGTCCTGGATATCATCTATTTCTACAACATGGTTTTCACCTGAAATATAAAAAAGTATAGGCCAACGTTCATGAAATTTAGTTCTTGTAGCTCCCATTTTATCAATCCTCGTCTCATTTTCATTGTATGATGCCGTTGATCAATAACTTACAATACATTATAGATTAGAATTGTTCTTACCTTTAGCGGCTTCAATACATGTTTTGCTTGTATCACAGACCTGGTTTTGTGGAGCGCATACACAGTCACCTTCGCAGCTATGTGTATCGCATCTCCGGACCAGAAGCAGAATGCCGTGTGAAATCCCAGAAGGAACGACATTAAATGCATTGTGCACTACTAAACTAGGAAGTCCGACCTGCAAATGTAACAATTGGAAAAGTGTTGTTATGTTCAGTCCCGTAGCCAACTTTTGCCAAGAAGGGTTTACATTTTTAAAAAATCCAAGGGGTTCATTATTGTCAACTTTGGCCCTAAGATGGCCAGAATCACTTGGAATGTGCTCCGGACGGTGAAAAACTACATGCTTTGGTAAAATATTTTTGACTTTAATAATTGATGTCATCGACAACTTGTGAAACTGAAGCTGTTTTACCTTGTTAACTGCCCACATTTTGACATAAATGTTTTCGTTTTGGGTGAGTGAGCTATCAAGTAGAATAGTCGCTTCTTGTATGACGCCTTCAACATGGATGGTGCCCTTCATTGCGTGTGGTATAACCACGGGTTGAGCCTGAAACAATGTGGAGATAATACAAAGACGAAGTACTGCAGTTTTCATTAAGTGATGTGTGCAATTTGATATCTGATACGAGTAACCTACGGTACTTTATATGATTTCATCTACATTTACAATATATTATAAAAATTATACATTTGCATCATTTCCATAACAGCATGGCTCGATAACATAGTTTGTATTATAGAACGAGATATATATTAACCTGTATGTAGACATGTTCATACCTTTGTATACTCATGGCCTGCAAACGTTCTGCCTACTGTCACCATATACCTGTCTATACCAGAGTGATGATCCTCGAAGCCAAGCCATTGTAAAGTTATCGATGATTCGTTCCATGTCATGTATCCCGTTTGATGACGCATCAGTTCTGCTGCATGGTTTGTCCAACTGGCAAAAGTCCCTACACTTGATCTTGATGAATCAATCTACGCACATTACACAACACAATACAAAGTAATTTTTATTCACTCGTAATGACTGAATTTGCGATATGTGTTAGCTGTGAATTCACCTAATTTGGATTATGAAATTATCATCCTTGATTAAAAGGTAGGTCCTCTTACATGCCTGTTTCTTATATCGCAGTCTGATAAATTAAACAAGCAATACACATTAGTGGATGCCACTCTTGGAAAGGATCGCGTATAGTATGGCAAGTGATTTTGGACAATCATATATTTTTCCTTGAAGTCCCCGTGATAATATAGATATCAATCCACCTCTCTCTGAATTAGGACCTCACCTTGTCACGTTTTTAAAAATGTTAGTTAAAAAGAGGATATTGTTTTTCTCAATCTACACATATCGAAAATTTCTTCTACACTATATTGACAACTTCTGAAAGGCAGATGGCTATTGAGATGCGATTAAGTAAAAAAAACTAGACTTTTAGTACCATTCTAATTTTGAAGAAGTTTTAAATCCCTTGTTGGATAATCTTTTCATCCAATAAAAATCAGTAAAAGAAGATCCTCTTTCCAATAAATAGTTTTTTAACATTTTGAAAAAATGAAAAGACACTCACCAAAATTGGTTCAGATGTGCTTTCAGAGCAAAGCTTTGCTTTATTACATGAGATGACTGTTACATAATAGTTTGAACCATCAACCAAAGTCAAATTGGTGAATATGAAATGTTGTCTTGTTCCCACCTAAAACAAGGAAGAATATAATATAGATGATTCGAACCTTCAAAGAGCCTATAACCATTCTATTTAATTCCATACGTGTAGAATTTTGCAACTGTCTACATTACGAATTTTGGCAATGGTATATTATTTATGACACAACATGTTAAACAAAGACATTTTAACATTTTCATTCCATTGAGGTAAGTACTGCGTCACCATGTATTGTCTAAATCAAACAACATATACGTTGCGACTTAAACGGATTTTGTAATTAGCTTTTTCGAGAAAATATTGCTTGATGGCACTTACATCTGTGGTTGGACTTGTGTTGTCCCCATCATGGTGTGTATATATGCTGACATACTGTCGTTCAATCTCAGACTCGAAATCAGCAAATTCCCATTCGACAACCAAAGAACTTTTCCATATCTAAAGTTTGATTAAACTATTAAAACTGAAAAACCTATTCTATTGAAAATAAAAATAGCACACGTGAATACACTTTAAATATGAACTGTTTTAAAGAGCGTGCGGGTCCAGTGAAACCTAAATAATATATTTTTGCACAAAAGGTTGAACAATTTAAAATCATTTTAAGTCAAATTTTCATCCCAGGATTAATCTTGGCGTTGCATGCGTCTATACTTATTTTAAAACAATCATTTTTGTGTATATGGGTACAACTGAAAAACAATATTACAAGTGTTGTATGCAGACCTGAAAATTATCCTTCGTGGGCCCAAGATTTGTTTTTATATGAGGTTGGGTAACAATAACAGGTGGAGTAATATCTACAGTAAAACTGTTTGTAACAGCGTCGGTCCATTGGCCTAGAAAAATAAAAAAATTACAAACTAGTGTTCATCAATCATAATCCGTATTTAGTTGAATGCTAGATTTTTGTATAATTACATTCATTTTCAAGTTTAAGCAGTTATTTTAATTTCACTTCACCGGTATTACCGAATGGACCGCGAGGCACTATGAAACAAGGTGACATACCAGCATAGTTGAATGCTCTGATTGTTGAAAACAGCTTTGTCGTAAGTGGAAGCGGTGTGTCCAATGGGAAGACGATCAGGTCGGTGAGATGCACGCTTACAGGAGACACGATATTATCCCCACCAGGTGTTGTTCCTGCTCGAAACTCGTAATGTGACAAACCACTATGCGCATCATGAAAGCCTGACCAATGAGCGGAAATATAGTTTCTGTAGGAACATAAAAGAAGTAAAATTGACAGCAAGAAGATTGTGTTGTTTTTTGTTTAAGCTTAAAGGTTTTTACATTTCTCAAAGGGGTACTAAAACTCTTCAAAACCTTCAAAACACCCTACTAAAAGACTTGATAACAGAGACACCAATAAAATTATTTTCAATAAGATTGTACCTAGATGCTTGAAACTGCACATCACCTGGAAGAGTACCATCTTCCACTATTCCAGCAACTGGTGGAGAGCTATCAATGGTCACACCATCACTAGAGCGTGATACACAAAGTCCGGCTTGGTTGCATGTCGTTAATGTTGAGAAGTAGCGTTTGCCCTGCGATAGTTGCATGTAGTCAATGCAAACCTCTGAAATGGACAACATTACACATCTAAAATAAAGGTGAATTAAGATTGAAGCAAAAAGTGCCCCGCTTAAAGATGAATCCTAACTGATTAAAAAAAGGGCAATTATGTCTCTAGTATTGACAACATAATGGTCATATGGTTAGAAACGTTCTTATCTGCCCTTTGATTTTATGATAACAGGAATTATACCTGTTTTGAGTCCGACGTTATAAGCTTTAACAAGGTCATCGCAGCCAGAACAGGTTCCGACATCCAAAATATGCTCTGCAATATCAGTGTGTGGGTCCACGAAACCTTCCCAATGAGCGCATATTCTCGAAGCATCAGTCTGGTAGTCTAAATCTCTGTATAATATGTCAGTTGTGGACGTTTTCCCGTCGTAAATGTAGCCAGGGTTGGGCGCTGTGCTGTCCACAATAAATGCGTGTGAACTGGTAGTTGTATGTAGACCTGCTTTGTTGATACCCTATGTAAATGTTACATTCATTTATTTCTGATTCATTTAATCGCTTAAGAATCACAAATCATCAATAGATATTATTATCAGTAAATTACAATTATGATATTTTCCATTCATTTAATCACTTATCAATCACAAATCATAAATTAATATTATTATTAATAAATTACAATTATGATAATTGATTTTAATTACCTTCCTATTACCTCATAATTCACATCACATTATACATTTCGAATACTAAAAACTATCACACTATCAATATAATTAAGCCGAATACCGTAACAGCGACGTAGTACAAACGGCCATCTAGCAAATCTAGCTGTATATTCTCTGATTGGAGTGTAGTTACGGTATAAACCGTATGGTATGGACCATGTATGTCAGCCAGTCCTTCTTTGGATCCTATGGCCCAGAGATAATGTGAAATATCACTTTCCGCGTCAACAAATACGTTATCCCAACTAAAAACATCAATGTAGCTGTACTGCATCGACACGTGTTCTACCGCAGACACGTAAAATACAAAATGTAAAAGCAAGGAAGTGGTCCGTCTGTCGTAATTTCAAATGATTTCTGAGATCGAAATTTGGAGTTTTTGAATACTATCCAACAACTGATATAAAGTGACATTTCCTGATAATAAAGACTTCGGTATGTTTGAGTTACCTGGCATCGATTACATGTCTTGTCCTGACAACAGGTTCTCTTATTCTTACATGTGCTACCTTTGTTAACAAAGGGGGCGTGTCATCAATTATGACAGGATGACTTGAAGATACACCTGATAATCCAACAAAATTAGTACCTACAAATGCAACCAAATAACAAGTGCTTAAATAGAACAAAATGTATACAAAGGTTAACATTTGATTTGTACAAAATGCTTCGTGATATGGTTTAGGAAGAATCAAAGTATCACATATAAAAAATGGCACTTGAATACAATATGTACACATCAAGGTTCTTTGTTGTTCTTGATTTTTCAAGTTTGACATTAACACATTGAATGAAAAATTAAATCAAGAATTACTGGTTTGATATTCATTTCAACGTCACAAACACGATATAAAGAGTATTGACCTTTTATAGAGATAAAGTATTCATGTCCACGTGTGAGGTTGAGACCTGTCAACCTGTGGTGGTTAGTAACCCCTACTGTTGTGTAGTTCAGAACATCAACTCCGTATCGATGACCTCCTATAAAACGTGCAACAATCTATGTAAATACGAACAATGTAAGAGAGATGTATTTTCAATTTTTTCATTAGTTTCTAACATTTACTTATTAATTATATCCTAGATCGGGAGCAGGCGTCAGCATAGCACTGAGCCTCAATGTTCATGACATTGTCATAGATACATACCAACAGCAATCTGATAGAACTTTAGACCATGGTGGTTTGGTGAATCGGGTGCTTCTTCCTCATCAATAAATGATGTCCAAAATACTTCAATATCAGTGATAGACGACTAGAATGACAATCGAAAATAGAGAATTAGATTTAAAAAATGAATTCATTTTAACAAACAGAACCGATGTTGTTTCGATTTTTTTTTTAATTTCCATCATCTGTTTTGTTCATGTACCTGATACCATTGATTCATAGCATCCTTATTCCCCATAACCGTGACCTCGCCTGGATCTGGGGATGTCCAGTCGGTTGTTATACCATCACTACACGCTTGCATAGAATCTTTATTTGCAATGAACCGTTCGTAGCCAACTGCTGTTTTATTGGCCGATACACAAACAAAATACCGCCTTCCACTTTGGAGTGTGAGATTGAATACATTGATATGTTCATCGTTTGTCTCTCCACATAAAATTGTGTCGGAGTGATCACATAGGCCATCAAGGGCGGCCCGGGCGTCAAATGAATTCTCCAAGTTATCAATCGCCGGTGCAATAATAGCCCACGTGTAAGAGCCGTGTCTCAAAGATGGCCATGCGGCAGATAGCGTATCACGACTTGCCGTGTAGTCAGCGTCACCATTTTCCCAGAATTGATGCTTATTAAACTCGACAGGACCTAAAGTGAAAATGACAAACTTTTTTTAAATTACCCCAAAAAATTTGTAAGTTATCAATTTTGGATATTATTCTACTCTGTCTTACTGCCTTCCTTTTGCTCCAGTACCCCCCTTCCAAAAGAACAGTTACATATTTCAATACCTTGGATATCAAACACCACCATGTCATGTATTCTGTTGGTGTCAAGCTCATCACAATCCACAATGTCTGTACACAAGACTGTCCAAAGCCCCGAGAAGCTCCAACCTCTGATACATAATTTCCAGCATTTGGTCGACATGGTCCTATTCAACATTAGACTACTTGGCAAAGTCAAGCTGAATGACACAACTTGGTTTGACTTAATCCCGTCTACAAGTTGCCATGGTATTAAAATACCATGAGATTCTACATCTGTTGAAAAAGTCCATTCATAATAATTCATAAGGGATGTGTTACCATATACACCTGCATCAAAGTCTTCCATAGCTACATCTAACGTTGAGTTTTTTATTTGTAGGTGTATACTTCCAGGTTTTGGTCTGGCGTTGTATATTATGACCCCGTCTGTCGTTATTGGAGAGAAACACAAGGCAGGTGAACACAGCGATAAAACACTGCGATAAGTGGAACGAACATCTAATTCTAAATTGGTGATAGTTATATTATTTCTAATTGGTTTGAGATCACGATCAGGCAGTACTTGAATCCAACTTTGTGAACCTGACAAAAATAACGACCAGTTATACTAAACATACATATATGTACTTGGGTGCATCAAAACGTTTTGCAATTTTGACACTATCTCAAGTTATATATTTAGCTTTGTTTTGAAATTTGGCACAATTATAGATCATATATTTATACATAGTGTGTAACGATTTGGTTGCTCATCTGTGATTGGGTAAAAAGATATGGTTGCTATGGTAACGGGACCCGAGGGTACTCGGTTCCACCTAGAATATGTTAATTTTAAATTCTATTATATTCTGTTATTATTATGATTCAGTCACCAAAATTACAGGTTTGTGTGTCTTTTCATTCCCCCTTTCTATTTCTTATTGTTCTGATGACATCACACAAGGCTATTATGACATATGGATTTACACTGTGATGTAAATTGTGGGGAAAACCTGTGAATTCTGGCAGCCATTTTGTTTCAAGTAAATTTTCTCTTTCTGCTACAAACCCCACTTCCATATGGACAACGCATGGCCCCATACAAGTAGGGTGGCAATTGATTCTCAAGAGGACCTGGATTGGGAGCGTGTAACAACAGGCAGCTTACTCCCAGACACATTACCATGCGACTTCTTCTTGTTCAGTCATATGAAGAGGGGATTGAGGGGCATGTGCTTTGAAACCCAATAAGAGCTTGCCTCAGCCGTGAGGAAGCGATTGACTGTTTTATCAGCAGGGGATTTCAGGCTGTCTTCAGAGACTGGGTCCACAGACATCAACAATGTTTGGCAGATGGGAGCAATTATTTTGAATAATTTGAGAACAATGTTTGCAGAAAATTGATAATAGGAATTTGAGAACAATGTTTTAATATGCAGAAAATTGTTAATATGAGACTAAACAAGGTGTTGGCAAATTGATGTCATTTATTCTGTTTATTGCGTAATAATAAACTTGCATTGAACCATGAGGTCGCTTCTTATATTACTATGACAACCATATTTTCTTGAAAAATGAAGATCCAGTCTCAAAATTTTGCAGGTATGTCCACAAATGTATGATCATTGTATGTGCCGAATATTATGACATAACTCAATATAGTTATTACGATAGAGTCAAAATTGCAAAACTTTTTGATGCACCCAAGTACATGGTGTAAGGAAAATGTGGTTGTATTAACAATAATATGTTCAGACTTTTCTGGACTATTATATTAACCTTTTTCAAAAATGTTCATTAGTTAGATGGCGTAGCAAGGTCAAAGTTCAAAGGACGAGTGTTCCCGCCAATTTTTAGGAATCCTTTTGCATATTATATTACCTTTTTAAAACATTTTGAATCTTACACATGTTTAAAAAAATGAAAATCGCACGTACTTGTTTCGTATTGCTCTAGTCTATAATGAGCATGAGTTATATAACGTGCCATCGCTGCCGGAATTTGCCAATGCGCAGATATTTCAGTATGACTAGACTGGAAGTCTACATCCTCTTTGCAAGGTGCCTTAAACCAATAAATGTACATTCAGTGATGAGGAACTAATAAGTTAATGAATCCTTTAAAACAGCATTTATGAACACAAACACCAATATTGTGCCCAACTTTGTTTCACTTGAGCAAAGTGGTGACATGGGCAAATAGGTAATGAACACATACTTTTACTAGCCAAATAATAACTACTCTGGTACAATCTTGAAACACCAAATGTCATTAAATAAAAAACGTTACAATACTTAATAATAATTTATTTGAAAGGGGCGATTTAATCAAGATGGAAGAATAACTAGTGTTTATATTTTAAGACAATGAGTATCATACGTTTATGTCCCTTTCATGTTTAGCAATCTACAAATGCCATTATGAAGGGAAGTTTTACCTGAGCAGTGTGGTGGTCCGTTTTTATTGGAAAGCTAACACAACCGAGCCCATCATGTATTACAGCATCTACAGTGAAGTTATCAGGAATAACAGTTACGCCATCAGATGATGCATTTACAGAGCCCGTCTTTGTTTTAGCAATTACAGTAACATAGTAAGTCTACAATAAAATAATTTATTCCAGGTAAACATGAAATTATAATAACGTCACTCTTTTTATATGTATTACATTGAAATTTGATGTGGTTCCCATAGTGTCCTCAAATCAAATCTGGGGCGAGCCATTTTGTAAAAAAATTGTAATTGACACATGATAGCATGTACCTATGATAGCACGTACCTATGTCATAGATGTTGCTAGTATAACTATAGTAAAATATTACCTGTAGCGATAACATGGCAAGACCAGTTGCTTCAAATGATGTACCATTCACTTCAGTAAATGCCACGACATCATCTAACCCTTTGGCCGTACCAACTCCGAAAGCATATGTCACAGGTAGATGTGAGTGAGCAAAACCCGACCATTCTCCATGAATCGATGTTGCAGAAATCTGATGGTCTATGTCATAATGTCTAATCTGGTTAAATAGAAATACGGGTTGTTATTTTCTTAGTATCCAGTGCATTGATCATTTCGTGAGGTGCACTATTTAAAGTGTAACTTCAATTACATTCATATTTATAAATGGCTTCAAATATACACATTTCGTCTACACTTTTGTATTTGGCCTCATCATTGCTGTTTACCTTCGTTACTGCTTCTGATTCACTCATGGGAAGTATGTCTTTGACAATGCCAATATTTGGTGGCTGCATTGTGTACGTATATGGTTCAGCAACAACAATTGTCGAAAGACCTGCCGAGTTCACAATTTTTAATGATACCAGAAAAGTCTGGGGATGAGCTGGTTCAAGGCCGAGTTCAGAAAGTTGAATTTCTGTACAATTTCGATACGCAATATCGCAGTTTGGTCCTGCCTGAATAGGTCTAAATGCGACTCTATCTTGGTGGTGAGAATAACTACCTAAAAACATAGTTAGTTACATACATTATTTTCAAACCATTTAACTCCCATCATCCAGTGTACATTAATAGAATTTGATATCAACAGAATTAGAATCGAAGGTTTGTGGTTCACCGAGTTAGATACCTCTCCAACGCATGAAAGTATGTTACTATCTATAAAGTTACGGTGAAATTTAAACTATGCGAAATTTGAAACTTCATTTCAATTATATATGTATACATCCAAATATGATATATGTAAGGCAGATTTTTTAGTCATTATACCTATTGCAAACTCATATAACAACTTGTCCATATCTTCATTATCGTAGACAAGTAACGGATCCCAGCTTACACTCACATACTCGTCAACTATAGACACGCCAAGGGCACCATCGAAATGAGGCCCTGTGATATCGACAATCAATGGTCCAAACACCTGAAACATCACGGGTACAACATAAATTTAAATACACGTTTTGTCGTCACTTTAGATTTCTAGACTAAAAAGAGAGTGTCTGTAAATTAAGTCATAGAGCACAAAAAAGAAAAAGAGCACTAAAAGCATAGGCTGAACGATAAACTTACAAAGATAAAATATTTGTTAATAGTGACATGTGTTACCTTCATGGTACTCATTCGGGCACGATTTGTTGCTTTTACTATAACGTAGATAAGTTCTCCTTCTGAAAGTGGCGGATGATACATTTTCCATGATTGTCGCTGATTGGTCGATCTGAAAGGTGAGAGATCTGGTGCCATAGTCGAATCTGTGCTACTCAAACCAACTTCAAAATCAAATATCCCCGATTCATCATCAATTCCAGTCCAGTTTACGTTTAGCTGAAAAGTTATACCAAAAGATTAATACAAAATGAAATCAGTTATGTAAGGTATCAAGATGATATAACAAAACATCGGTAAATTTGGAACATGGACCGTTCTCTTTCTATACATATACTACTGTCATTGTACACCCGGGTAGCCATTCGTCGAAATACGTTGTCGATTGCATGATAATGTAACATGAATTACAACAGACAGCCCACCTCTTTTTCTTGTGTTAAATAAAATCTTTGTATGAAATGTCCCTCGTCGCACTCAGTTAAGACTTCAGAATAGGTATCAGCAAACACTGTTTCATCTGGTATTGGTGACCCACTAAAAGTAAATTGATGTACAATACAGTGGCATACAACTGAATACTTGTTTTAGTATTTAGGAGCAATATGTAATTTAAAATGGAATTTGTATAATTGGAAATGGAACAAAAACGGACCAACTGCATCAATAGAACGCACTATTGTACCTAAAACATAAACACGCCATTTTAGAATTCACGGCAATTCAAACTCGAGATTTGAACTTCATGTTAGCTGAACAAATAACAAAAACATTGAAATAATCAACAAGCTAAATATTTTTTTCTGAAAAAAGCAAGCCGTACCTGCAAGCCGTTCCGTTTAACTTTATTTTACGTCCCCGTGTATTAATTAGCCATGTCACATTCCCTTTAGTAACATAGCCAGGTCTCGTGCGAATGTTGTCTATAGCAATTGAGTGCACGATGGGTGGAGTACCGTCAATTGTGATACCATCAGAGCACACGGGTGCAGATGGTTCCATTGCGCTATTATATGCGACTACAGTCCAGAAGTAAGTGCCTGTTTGATTCAAGGTGATACTTGCATCGGTATTTTGCGTTTCCGTTACCTAAGAGAAAGAAAAGAGTGTGTGAGTAAACGCAAACAAGGTAAGTGCATGTATAACTTAACTAGGTATACTTAAATCTTGGACTCATCGTAAATATTAAACATTGAAGAATTATATTTTATAATTTAATTATTATTTATAGAAAAGTTCATCACACAATATCAATATTTTCTTTTACAGTTCCTTTACCAGTCATTCCATGTTGTAAAATAAAATGTGGTTACTTATACTGTGTTATGATTGGCTAGAACGTGATATAGAAAACCAACATGTAGTTATGTGTAAATTAGATTGCAATACACATGAACAGCAAATATTTTTATACATACATCTGATGAGTTGATGAGTGTGAACATTTCTTCTCCAAGACAAGAGTTAGAAAACCCGTATTGGTAAAACCGTACGCCACTTTCACGATCGAAGAAACCAGTCCAACCAGCGTGAATTGTGAAGTCCTGTTGAAAGTCAATTTCCGGATTGCCTGCCAGACCGTCATAGACAATACCAGTATGTGGAGGCGAAGTGTCAATACTTATCTGAAATAAATACATCACAACAAATTATTTTTATAAGAACAACTAAATTGTATGTAATAATGATCAATAGTTTTATCCACGTGACTTAAGAATATAGCTGGGCATGAAAAGTATATTATAATTCAGGATATATTTAGGGAATATGAATGGACATCGGCATCAAAAGTGAAATACTTGTGCCTGACTAATTCATTTCCAACTTACTTTTAAAATGAAAGTCTGCACAAGCTGGGCAATATTTGTAACTGTTATTCGTAAGTAATAGTCGTGGTCATGAGTTCCAATAGGCTCGGGGAAATCATTAAAATCAGGTTGAACTTCGTATTGTATGCCATAACATGTTCCCGCTGGTGTACAATAACAATCAGGATCACCGTTACAGTCGTCAGTCAGGCCTTTCTTTATGACGTGTGTATATGATTCTCCAAGTACCACCTCTGTATTAGTGAAATTGTCAAAAAGCCTCCAATGGACAGTATGAAGACCACTGTGGATGTCAAAGGCCTTGAAACGAAATCTAGAAAAGTCGAAATGAATAACCAGTGAAAATAACATTTATTAGATGACTTTGCTGACGATAATATGCGCCAATATATTGGTAGCTATTTATCGTTTGTTACTACAGTATGTTCCTTACCTTATGTCATAGAGTTCACGTAGGCCGTGTACCGTCAACTCTTCCCTCCCATTACTGACAAGCCAAACATCGTCGATCAAACCAGGACTAGAATCAATGTGTAAATATATATCATCATCAATTTCTGTTCCCATGACGTCTATTGCTTTCAGCCAAATTCTAAACGAGTCTCCATCAATTCTAGGTAGATCAAGTATCTGACCTTGGTCGAGGATATCATCCGTGTCAATCCACATTGAAGGCTTACTTGTCAGGGTTCTCCCTCCCTTATGGTCTTTTGCAAATGCATACTGGAATTTTACTATAGCATTGGCATTTGGTATTTCTAATATAGTGCGCGTACCTTCATTATCATCATAGAAAGGGTCTATATCCCTCTCCTGGTAGTCCCCTAAGGCATTCAAAATCTTATTAGTATCATGATACTGGTTTATGAAACGATTTTGCCATCTAATGTATACTTTTGGCCCATTGTTTGAAGTGTCTTGAAGATTCGTTTGCCATATGTAATCAGCTGAAGAAACCGCAGATGTAACTACCATGGGATTGGATTCTAATATATTTATTGTTGCATTTTGGTCATATATAAATAATCTTCGTGTTGATTTCACGTTTCCGCTTGATCCTCCGTGTCCTGTATTATCAACAACTGTCAGTACGATAGAATACGTGCCAGCTATATCTGGGGAAAAACTGGGCCAGGGGTCGCCTGTTTTCCAAATACCTGATTTCACAGCTGGATGGGACTCAACGAGGACGGATTTATCGAGCCTAGTGAAATATATAGCGTAATCATACTCTATAATCCCTGAAAGATCATCCATCCAGCCATCCCATCTAAGGGTAAGTCCAGTCTAAAATAGTACGTGGAAGAAATTATGATAGCTATATCTAATAAGATTCAAATCTACATGGTTTGCCTCACAAATTGTATCCAAGCTTCATGTAAATAAATGTCATAAAAAAGATGATAACGTATCTTGGTATACAATTTTATTTCAAATGAAAAATAATTATGTTTTAAATTGAAACATCATAATAATAAACATATTAGTAGGAGGTAGTGAGTTCGAGACGCATGAGCTCCTTGTGTTTATTCATTTATATATTTAAATATTTATGATGTATTATATATTTTTGACTGACTTGATCAATTATATTTTAATGTGGTATTTAACCGTATATATTCATAACTCGCGTCGATGAATTATTGAAGGTTTGATAGACTAGTAATAAGACATTTTATCAGTTACCTTTCTGATTTCTTCCCCGAAGTCCATAACTTTGATTGTACATGCAGGTACTTTCTCGGAACAATGGTATGGGTTCACAAAGTCAAATATGAAAACTGAAATGTTTGTGCTTGTTTGACTACTGTAATACTTGAAATGATTTCCGCTTGTCTCTGGACTGTAGTACTCTAAGTATCCACCATTGGTTGCTGAAGCGCTAAACGTGATCCTGAGAAACAACAATTACAAACTTTTATTTTTACTTGTGCATTCTTATTTATTTTCTTGCTGCATTCTTAAGTTATTTTTGACCTCTTCCTTTGGTACTTATCCATACATATTTTTCCCATACTTCAACGTGTTTAGGGAGTATAAAGCAGTTTTGTATATGCATTTTGAGCACAGAGGATAGGATAGAATTTAACGCCTTGGTTGAGTGGGCAGATTATATTTGGATTGGGATGATTCATTATATTCTGAACCTCATATAAGATATAATCTTCGAATGGACAAAGTCGGAAAGTTTAAAAATATTTCGAATTTAAATGTATTTACGGAAACATTTGAGTTAATTAAAACAGTGAAATACTCACTTATCGTTGTGTTGAAAGTTCCAATTAATATTCACATTTGGGTTACATTCAACCGTATCTATCCTTGGAGATTGTGAAGAACCAGCGTTACATGGAAATGCATCTTTGAGACTTGTTAAGGTGGATGAACCTAAACAGGAAGGAAATCCTGGTGTGTTTAACTGTATAAATCTTAACCAAATGCAGCATACATCTTACAATACCTTCACATGTGTTTTAAATACACTAGGGATATCTAGCATACAAAGCAATGACAGTCACTAGTATGATTTTAACGCATTGAGTATACTATGCTTATTAATTAAGGGACCAAAATAAAATACAAGCCAATCCAAGCCATCTATGGGCTGTTTCTAACATTAGAGCTGTTGCCATAAAATCTAGTTTAATACCATTTCTACGGTGGCATTTGTTTGTTACGTAGGCTCGGATAGTTAAGGTAACCTAATAAATGCGTAAATAAATTAATCACACGCTGCACTTACCTCGGGTATGAATAACTGACCCTGAGGACGATGTAATACCAAGTCGAATACCCTTGATATAATTTGGAAATGTTGGGAATTTCGGTTGGTGGAAAAACGTTTTCCAGTGGACCTCTATGTGATTTAAACTGAAATGAAAAATGTACCAGCCATACCAGCAATACCTGATTCTATCTTTGTTCAATTTAACATATGGAATCAAAACCATGTCACCTTTTTAGCTATATATATGAAGATATAGGATTTATTTGTACTAATGCCCTATAAGGGCCGAACGTACATTCAACAATAAAAATTAATTACAATAAAAATTAATTACAGTAAAATATTTAAAGGAAATATAATGTGTACTGAACTATTATTTCAATACGGATATATTTTATTGCACTGAATCGAATAGGGTAATTGTGTGTTTCTGTGAAAGCGCACCTGGGAATGTTTGTGTACACCGCTTCAGTTGATCCAAGACATTCGATGCGTATGGTGTCCTTTTCCTGTCCATCAACCAATCTCTTTAAAGCCGCCTCGCATTTTGGAAATAGGGGCTGGTGTTGACTTCCAACTTATGGAAAAACAAAACATACACATATCATCTAAACACGGTGCCAATCTGTAAGTAATTAAGCTTTTCAAATTGTGTTCAATTTAAAGATATACTTACTTTTCAAACAGTGGGTGCCAGAGAAACCAGAACTGCAAGAACATGTAGATACCGTTCCCAAACATGTTCCAGGAAAGCACAAGTTACTACTCCAGGAACATTTTGCTGCAAAAGAGTTTCTCAATAGCCATATACAAATTATATAATAAAAATGTGAAACTTGACAGTGTCCAATAAATAAGATGAAAAATACTGTAACTTTCTACTGTACTGTAACAATTTTAATGAAATTTGTTGAGGTTGTAACCCAAAGAATCAGAATCCACCGTTTGACTGGCAAAATAAAAACCTGTAGTGTGTAAGTATGCATTGTTTTCGTCGCTTTCTTATATACAGGGAGTCCAATAAATAAGATGAAATATACTGAAAGTTTTTTAATATTGTAACAATTTTACTGAACCAAACCTTTTTTTACCTTAATTCTGTAAATTTCAGGCTTTTCTCATTTGATTGGCCAGAGAAATGGTTGATATAATAGTAACCTAAACAACAAAAAGGCGGGGCAAGATTGTTTACGTCATAACTTTTCAAAACGTATTTAACCTTTTTGGTACCTTTATTCCCTTTGAAGGTATATAACTGCCATGGATTCTATACATAAAACAGTCTTAAAGTCACATTGTTATGGAAAATAGGCTATTCAACATGATGTCAATCTTTAGCTAAATACTTCTTATACGGGTTACCAATTCTCCGAGGACATTTTCAAAGCCATTCTTACACATTTCCTGAAGTCTTTCTAAGACGTTTGATATCAGTTTATCAGTGCTGCAAATTCATTTTGCTCAAGTCACACTTGAATTCAGTATACAAATAAAGTCACTTGGTGCCCGGTCTAGGGAATAAGGGTGGTATCCAAGTAAGGGTAGCCCCAGTGTCCTGAAAGTTTCAATAGTGAGCAAAGTTGTGTTTGAGGGTCAGTGTCCCAGTGCAGCAGAAACATATTTCCCACGCGTTTCTTCAGGAAATGACTGAGTAATAGTAACTTTGAAAGTGTGCTCAGAGAATGGGTGGCCAGACATAGGAAGTGTGCACTTAAAGATGCACATTATGTCGAATAGCCTATTTTCATGTCAATGAGACTTTAAGACTGTTTTATATATTGTATCTGTGGCAGTAATACACCTGGAAAGTGAATAAAGCTACAAGAAAGATTAAATATGCTTTGAAGAAGTATGACATTTACAAACATGCCCCGACTTTTTGTTGTTTTGGTTACTATAGCAACCATAACTCTGGCCAATTAAATGGAGAAAAATTGAAATTTACAGAATAAATGTAACGGTTTGGTTCATTAAAATTATTGCAATATTAAGAAAGTTACATGATCTTTCATATTATTTATTGGGCACCCTGTATATAAGCGACGAAAACAATGCATACTTACACAGGTATTTATTTTGCAAGTCAAACGTTGGTTTCTGATTCGTATCGAAGGTAGTATTTTTGTAATATTTGTGCATAGAAATAAACTTATCTTATTTAGTTAATACGATAAATGGACAATGGTGCTTTTAAATAATATCAAAGCGTATTGAACAGGTTTACAAGACATTAACATCGCCATTGTTTGACTTACCATCACAGCTCGTCCCGTTGTTAATAAATGCTTTGTAGGACCCATACTCGTGCGCACATCTTAAACAGGTGTGGTCAGTGGCATTTGTACAATGCACCTCGACACAGTTGGTGATTTCATTGCAGGCTTACAAAATATGCCAATTTATATCTCAAATATATCACTCTTTATGACATAATGAATGATACCAATGACATTGTGAAAAAAAGATTTTCTTGGTTTAGACTTTTAAAAAGTTGTTTTATGTTTAGTCTAAAATAAGAATGTGAGTAAAAATATAGAAGTGAAATAAAATATATATAAAGTGAACAGGTATTTGATGAATAACTCTTCAAAATGGCAAAAATCAAAACATATTATATGCAAATCGTTAGCTTAAAACGCACAAACCTTAATATTAATAGGCTATCATCTTTAAAAGCTCAAAGTATGAGCCTTTCGGGAATTGTGTAAACCTGTAAAACTATGCTTCACATGACTGTATTTTAACTTTAAAACAACCACTTACGATATTGGCAGTTTGAGTATTTTCCGTAATACCTCGGCATGCATTCACAGAAATAATCATGTCCTGGGGTAGCATCCGGGTAACATGTACCACCATTTTGGCACGGCTTTTTACCACAAGGATTTTCTGAAACCAATACCAGGAGATATTTTCCATACAACTGACGAAATGATATATTTGCCACATACTAGATAGTAGTGTAGTTAGCAACTGAACACTGTGTGTATATGTTGTACATTATATAATAGATCAATTATTTTATTTAGTTATATAGATAATAACAATCGATTTCCACTCATTTAAGGTTCAGAGGTCAACTAATGAATTAAAGGAATGCTTTCCCCCGGTGAGCTTTATAAAGTAAAGTAGTTTATGAATTATGGCAGCTATGTGTATAGTGCAAGAAATGCCTCAAAATTCAATGTCAATGTTACATTCGATATTCTAAATATTCGAAATAATACTTTTTCAAAACATCAAATAATGAAAAAATATCAAAGCAAATGGTGAGGAAAAACGTGTGTCGAATAAAAAATAATATGTGAAACCCAATATTCTACAGGTATACTCCAAAGTAATAAGTACAGGACATCGAACTAACTTTTATGTTCAAACTTTGTACATTTCTTGTTTGAACTTTTAATTTTCTTTTCGAACTTTAAACGGTATTCTGCAGTTTGAACCTATTTACATTTTTTTTATTCGAACTTTTCATTTTTCAATTCAAACAGATGTCTCGGGAAACTATTTCATTTCGTTCAGTTTTTGGCGCCTCTACTGGCAAAAGTCGGAAAGGATAGCACTGGTTTCGAGACTATCTTAGCACGGGTCAAGGGATACAGGATAAAGGAGTTAGAGAGTAGTGTATCCCCGGCGTTTTATTACCGAGCAATTTATTTAGTTTAGAGTCTTAATCAGGCCCGAAGTTAGGATTTGCCGATGGGAGTGGGGTATTTTAAAAAAACACTTGAAAAGTGCTCAGTAAGGGGAAAACTGCGATTTTGGAAGGATTTCTCTCGAATCCCTGGCTTTTGTCGAATGGTAGATACACGTCGCACGAAACTGGGGACAATTAGCGTAACATTATGGCGTCAAAAAACAAAACAAAACAATGAGCAGTATAGGGCGCAAACAGCCTTACAACGTCAAAAACGACAAGCGTCACATTTTTTACAAGTTTAGTCAACCTAAAAATAAAATACTTTATCCTTATCTAATCATTACAAAATTTACAGGGTAGCAAGATCTCGAGGACAATATTTCTAAAATGTTTTTGAATTTTGAAAAACGGTCAAGAAATCCACTTGGGGCGTTAGTAAAAATTGATATGTATGGAATTTGTGGTAAAAAATCGATGCGTCACATTTTTTCAAGTCTCGAAAACCAGCTCTTATTTTGATATTATTTGCAAAATAAACAAACCGGTTATTGTTTCGCCATGACAATATTGTGCAGTTAAATTTTCTTTCAAATCAGACCTAAATTAGAAGGTTAAATGAAGGTAAACTTATTGCTCGTCCCATTCGCCTTCAAAACCTTACACAATTTTGAAAATTTTAAAAGCGTTCGTATAAGATAATTTGAAATGTAGCCGTTAAGCAATTGTGACGTCATAAATGCAAATGTTCCATTGAATAAATTGTGAAATTTAAGTGGGATTTTGATCATTATTTCAAAAGTTATCTCAATTTCAACGAGCCCTGTAAGCGTAAAGTGTTACGTCTTACAGCGTATTTGACGATGTCGGAGTATATTTAACTTTAAAAATGTGTTGGATCCCATCAAAATGTTGAAGGAAAAATAATTTCATTGAAATGCGAATAAAAAATACTTCAAAATGATATGTAAAACACATAGTTGGATTTTTAAATAAGGCAGAGATTAACGTTCAAAGCTGAGAAAAGCCCGCATTTCCCGAATTGTCCCCAGGTCCGTGCACGTCATAAGATTATAATCTGCAAACATGACAAAGTTAAAAAATGACATAAGAACATCATTTATGTGAACAATAAACAAGATCGGCCCAAGATCCTTGTGGCACTCCGCTTGTGATCACTTCCTGCTTACCTGTTTAGACGCTAAATCATTATATTCAAATATTTATTGCATCATATTAGACTAGTAGTATCTTATTTACGTTTTGGCGTAATTATCTACACATATCATAATTTTATTCATCAATTTCTGTACTTTATTTTTAGTTATTAGTTATGTACAGCTTGTGATGCTTTTGAATTCAACTATTGAATTATTCTATCATGCACTAAACTAAATGATAAATTTAGTGATATACTTACCCAAACATGCCGAATGCCACTTTTCCCCATAAATTTCCTTGCCGCACCTTCTCATTGCTTGTTCTTCCCCCTTGTAAGAATATGCAAAAGTAAATAATCAGAAAGCATTTTTGAATCATAGAAACAGGACCCGTTTTATAATTAGGAAGTCTTGGAGTCTTACGATAGTAAAAATGTACATATTATTCCTATCGATCCTATTCTATCCTATCCTTGATTGGACAAAGATAATAAAACTCACCCACGGCTCATGTCTGCCGTGGTTTACATCAAACTCTCTACACGTTTCGATAAGACAGCTAATTTTTGACGTCAATTGTCTTCTGCTTCTGTGCTTTAAGAATGACGACGCTTCCTTCTTAGTATACGTGTACGGCACAGCTTAAACAGTAAGTTAATATTAAAGCTTTAACTTTTAAAAATTGAATTTGAAAAGTATTATACAATTTAAATTGAATGTTCTATATTACAACGTCTTTATGTTACTCCCTAACGTTAGAGCACGCGCACCACAACGTAGTTATATTCAAACTAAAAATGTCACTAAGAATATTTTCAAGTTAACCTGTTAGCAAAGGGGCCGAGATTGTCAAAAATTAATAGTTATTCTATTGTACCTTTATCACAGTTTTTTTCATCCGTCTGCTGCCAGCCATGACAACATCTAAAACAAGTAGTCATCTTTCCTCTGTACCTGTGTGTGAAGAGAAAGTGATGTATGAATTAATATGTATAATGACGATAATCCCGATGTATGTATTTATCATTTCTTTGATCGAAATACTACAAATCAATACAATCAACATTACCCACATACACTCCCCTCCATAAATTTGGCAATCTTTTTTCCCCGTTGAACTACGTGTTAAAGCCTCTTTATGTTTGAATTTTTATTTACTTAACCGGCGATGATATAACTTATAATATTGATGGAAACGTAATTTGACTTTATTTCCAATACCCCCAAATTTTCTCAATTTTTTTCCTCAATTACAATAGGTCGAAAATTGATGGAAAATTTGATGAATTTTTGAAAATCGTCATTCCCATGTAATCCAATGGGAAATGGAGGGTTCGGGGCAAATCAGAAATCAGGATATCTTTTCAGTAAAAGATTCAGCAAAAAATATTTTTGTATAGAAAATTGAATTGTCTAACTTTTATGAACATTAAGTGTTTAGTTTATTTGATGAATATTAAAGTTTAAATCGCTTCAAAGTCATTTTTGAAAATAATTTTTCGCCTCCTGTGTTATTTCAATGGGAGTTTTTTTTGAAAAACAATTTTGATTTTAAAGCCTCATAACTTTGTTGAACCTGAAGAAACATATCAATTTTTTGTTAAGTAAAGTTAGCAAATTCAATTGCCTGCCTAACTCGTATTTTTAGCAAGGACTCGGATGGATGGATATTCTGTCATATTACTTGCGGCAAACCTACCATTTCCCATTGGTTTACATGGGAATGTCGATTTTCAAAAATTCATCAAATTTATCATCGATTTTCGACCTATTGTAATTGAGGAAAAAAATTGAGAAAATTTGGAGGTATTGGAATTAAAGTCAAATTACGTTTCCATTAATAGTAGAAGTATTTTCATCGCAGGTTAAGTAAATAAAAATTCAAAGGTAAAGAGGCTTTAACACGTAGTTCAATGGGGGAAAAAGGTTGCCAAACTTATGGAGGGGAGTGTACATTGCTTGCAAATGAGACGTTTCAAAATCAAAAGTGTACGGTTACTATAATAACATGCTAACCATAAGTAAACGATGTTTGCTATATAAATAATTTTTTTTTTAAACATTATTTATTTTTTCAAGTCGCATTAGATTGTAAAGAGGAATCGAACGGTCATAAATGATCGTAGTACGAATTTTGTTAAAGTAACTATAGATGGTATTTTAGATTTTGATACTATTTGATATTTGATGAATTAATTTATAAGTGTATAATACATATATCTGTTTAAAGTAATAATTTGTGGGATCTTTATTAGTTCATGTATAGAAAGAAATGCTGAAGTTGTCGAATATGCTATATACCACAGGTGAGGATGACATATACCGCAGGTGAAAACATGATACAGAAAGTCTTGGTTTGATTGGTTGCGAGAATCGACTATAGATGTAAAACTACGCTGGATTACAAATGAAGTTAGTTCTTCGAGTACTAATATATAAATCCTGGATGTATTTGGTAAGTTCATTACGTGATATTGCTGAGCGATACTTCTGCATTAGTTTTGTATTTTCAATGCACCGGAGTGTTGATTAAGTAATCATTATAACAATTCATTAATTTTCGTTCAATCGTTGTAATTGACAAATGCGCACTTCCTTATCACGTTCTCTTTGGTTAGTGATGCCATAAACCGCAAGTGAATCTGTCATACACCGCAAGTGAATATACCATATTCGTTGCGGAATATGACCTATATTTGTATCGTTAACCGCGTAACACTTCCTGTATATTTTCATGAAAAATAATAGTGTCGCCTGTTTACTTTCAAATCAATAATTTTCACTGTGTGGATGTATTTTTAGAACAACGACTATCATGCATGCATCTCTGATCGCTGTCGCAAGGTCAATTTTTATGATGTATCACAAGAGAGATATCTCCTAAGATATTATTTACCACTGAATGCATCACTTAATTTATATCTTGTCATTCTAAATGGCATTGGATTGACATTGCAATATGTAAATAGCGTGTAATTATTTTTATACTTTATACTTAACACATAATTATACACACATGTACAAATGTTCATCATATAAAATGTATGTAAATGTACTCATCAGAAATTGATGGATAAAATAAACATAATAAAAAAATAATAAATCATATTACCTATCTACTCTCCAGGCCTTTGGGTAGTGATAAGCCTCAAATGGGACGGGAATAGCCGAAGAATTTGTGTTTGGTATACAGTCCTCTGAACAAACATTACGCCTGAAAGAAAGGAAGATTCATATGGCATCATAAAATGTTCATTCCATAAGAAAAAACACTGTTTTACCAAATCATACGTATTACATAATACACTCCCCTCCATAAGTTCATAAATTTTCGACCTATTGTAATCGAGGAAAAAATGGGGCAAATTAAAGGTATTGGAAATAAAGTCAAGTAACGCTTCCATCAATATTATAAGTTATTTCATCGCAGGTTTAGTGAATAAAAATTCAAACGTAAATAGGCTTTAACATGAGATGAATGAAAATGACAAATAACGCCTTAGAATTATAATTGACAATATTTGCCAATCAAATTAATGCCTGTCGACCAAATGTTCCCGTCTGTTTTTTGGAATATGTAAAAAATACTCACCCAGATAGATCCAATGCATCAAGCGTTGATATATAAATCAAAAATAAAAAAATTGTAAACTTGTCCATTGCAAAATTATTATAAAGATCACTGAAATGGACTGAAAACCCATTCGATCATTCTTACCCGAGATACACTTAATGTATCAATACCATTGAGGTTCAATATTGACATAAGTTTCTGGCCAATTCAAAATGTCTAGGCAGGTTTAACGATTCCGTATACACGATCAGGGCGCATACTATAGAACTTGTCGAATCTAGGGTATCGACTAAAATACAATAGTCATGCAACCAATCAGCGCCTGAGAATGTTCCTCCTATTTCCGCGTATCAATGTCAATGCCAGATCAATAATAAAGAATTGACCCTGTTTGCCATATATGGTATTGCTCGAGCTTCTCGTGGGATTTACAAGAAACTTTAGACATTTCAAGGGAATTAATTCTAACAACACCAAACTTGCCAAAAATTGACAAGGCGATCGTGGGATTCAACAATGACGACTAGTCCAAAACTACTCGTCTTTTGCATGTGTCTGCATTCGGTAACATGTAAGTACGTTTTTTCAAAATTAATTGTATTATATTATTTAAAGTGGTGTTATTATTATTCAGTATTTGATATCAAGATGCAATCGTGAATTAAAATCACAACATTAGTACAACATATAATCATGATGTTCTCTTTAATTACTCGATCCATGGTTGAAAATCCAAAATCCAAAAATAGTCTTTAATCGCGCATTTAATACAATGATCACTATGATATTAAAAGTGGCTATGTAAAGCACTTTGAGAAAAGTGTTATGCGGGAATCTTATTTACTTCGTTTTGTGATTTTTTGATTTGAATTCTTTTTTTGTTATTTTAACAATCGTGGTATAAAAATTCATCCACATGTCGGGACTATCGACTTTTCATTCGATTTTGAAAGGACATTCATCCCAGTGGCCCGAAAAAGCCTTTTAGTGGCCACAGTGGCCCCAAAAGCATGTCAGTTGATCCCAGTTGCCCACAATAACGTGGCAGTTACCCTCTATGGCAAAAAAGCATCCTAGTGGCTCCCAAAAATTATCTTGAGCATTCATGTTGGTGTTCCATGAATTAGACGATTCACAACAAAATTAAAACAAATAAATTCAATAAAAAATCAGCGCAGCCAATCGAGGTTGGTATCATTGCAAAGAGCAACGATTAAACTTTATTCTTCAGATAATATTTGAGAAGTTTTTTAGAATGTATTAAAACGAATACTAACTTGGAATAGGTTTCTTTCTTTGACTGATGTTTCAATTTGAGGGATATTAAGCCCTTTCCCGAAATATAAAGTACTGATGAAACGGTGCCGCCGTATTAAAGATTATTATGCACCTCATTAAAATACTCAAATCTGATTGGTTAAGAGCTGCAGGGTCTATTGCTATACGTGGCAGCAAGATCTCGTTCTATCCAGTACTGAAGCAACGAGATCTCCAACCATCCCTTATGCCAGAATACTTATCCTCGAAAAAAATACTAGGCTCGGCTTCTGTTTTAGTAGACCCATTCTTTAAAATAAAGTATTTCTTTACAATTTGAAGGGAGGTGCATAATAAAATAAATACTGGATGACCATGAGGTGGATATGCCAGAATACCTATATTCTGGCATATCCACCTTATGGTCATCCAGTATTTGTTTAATACACCAAAATAAAAATGTCCCATATCGAATACTAACCTGCGGCCGCAATTTGTGACAACGGTATCTAACTTTACAGTCGCCAGAATGTTCACTTTTCGTCTTTTTCACTCTTTTGGAACTCTTTTCAAAACGGACAATGTATTTTCTTTATTCATTCGGATTAGTTAAAATGAGATGTATCAGTTATGTTTTCAAATTCAAAAACATCTGAATTATATGTCGCCTGGAGATTCCAACTAAGGAAAGCCGTTGCTTTGAAAAGCATTAGAACATGATTATCATAAAATCAATATAAAGAAACCACCGGCGGTCATTGATACAGATACAAATGATCATTTGTTACACGTGTCGATGCTACCATCATTCATGTCTCACGTTTCGAACATTTTGCTGATCCTGATGTTTATTTTTTCTACTTTCAGATGTCTATTCTCATGATGTCGACTGCTCTTTTTACGACACTCTGGAACAAAGTATGGGCTGTGGCGAAAGAGGGTACCTAGTTGGTTTTGGAAAGCATTTCTGCAAAGAAATACAATGCAAGTCTTGGCTGATGGATCGAGAGGTTTTTTTTCTGTTTATTCTGTCATTGGTATCTTATACTTTTGACAATACAAACAGCCTCACGATGCTGCTTGATCATATTCATATGCACTGCAGGCACTGGAGTGGAACAAAAATGTTATTGATATCTGAAGCGTAACAACTCATCTACATTTGTCATGATGGTCTCAAACTTTCCGAAAGCCAAGCAGAAAAAACAATATATAGAACAAAAACTTATGTCGATCTTTAGTCATCTCAGAAAGTTTGAGACCAATCATGTCAATAATTAGTGACATTTTTGTCCACCCTGTATAATTAATGTTTCAGGGAGAAGACTGGTCGAAAAGAGTTTTAAGATGCATGGAAGAAAGAATAGATGAACTACAGAGTCATAGTTGTGAAGATTTTACTCCTGAAAACCTGCTACATTCTACATGTTATTTTGCCGAAGGAGACACTTGTGCAGTTAGGAAAACAGCGCGAAACAGACTAGCAATTTGGATGCTTCCTTGGAAAAGGGACAAAATATGGTCGGGAAGTAAACATGCTTATTTTGAAGCGAACAACATGTGCTGTAATCCTCTTGACAAAACTATAAATGTTGCTGGAAAGAAATTGAAATTTATTCCTCAACCCATAGGTATAGACTGCATTGTTTTAAACATAATTTATAGAAATTCTTTATAAAAATAGTGTTCCGTACGATATTTCTTACCAAAAAGAGTTTGGACGATAACTGAAAGTCCGATCTTTATTCTGACTCGACCGGCTGATTCAGTATTTTGTTCAGAATCGTATTCAATTTCGAACAAAAGACTAAATAGGCTGGGCGCCCACCGATTAATCGGAGCAAATGTGACTCGGGCAATGATCAAATTTTATCAAGATTCTGATCATAGCTCATTCACCTGAATAGCTATAGATCCCATCTATCACAATGTAAGTTCAAAATTAAGAGTATGACAGTTAAACGCGCTGGATTCAGTACACCACGAGAGTGATGAAATTTGAGCAAACTGATTTTTCATCGTTTCAGAAAGATCTGGTCTAATGTCTAGGTATTTTTTATATGTGAATGTCTGTAACAATATCCTAGACAGTGAACTTGACGGTGAATTTTATAGTTAAACCTACACAAACTCCATGATACGGTATGACGCAAATTCCAATTTTTTGTGTTGTACCTTACCGTTACCTCGCGTTATACCGTATACCACAATCGGAGTTTGTGTAAGTTTAACTTTAGAATTCACAGTCAAGTTTCACTGTCTTGATTTTGTTACAGACATTTGCATATAAAAATATCTAGACCAGATCTTTCTGAAACGATGAAAATATCTGTTTGCTCAAATTTCATCACCCTTATGTTGTACCGTACCCCTCGCGTTCAACTGTCACGCTTAGGTTAGTGTGGGTATTGTCACGCATGAATGTGGTATATAGAAGAAGTAAATACTTAAACTTGTCTATAGGAAATAATGTTGAGAATATATGATTTTGCAATGCAGCTCCTGTTTACGATGATAGCAGATGTACTACTGGTCGAGGGGGTTCTTGCATGCTGATTTCTGACGATTGTGAGGGTAGCTTCATTAGTAAGCAATGTGGAGGCCCTGCAAATAGGCAATGTTGCATCCCCACCCCATCCCCTTCCTCAAACAGGTATATTGTATTAATTAGTTAACATTGGCTAGATTCATTTAAGGTAAGGGTGCACTTTGATGACATTTCATGACCATGTGCTATTTTCAGATAAACACAAGTCATTCCACACATCATCTACATCTTTCATTCTTGCACAAACGATTCATTAGTTGCCTAGACTATTAATCGAGGGTTGATAATTCTTCTGAATGTTTGAATAGCTAAAATATTCAGTAGTTTATGTTTCAAAATTGCAAAAAACCCAAAAAGTGCACTCTGGTCTTAACTCGGTGACCTCGTTAAGACTCTCCCATGTTCAAACCTGATAACGCCTGTCTGGTGCCAAGGATGAATCCCGCTGGAATCTAATTTTTTTACTTTTTTTCTTTACCACATTTCATCCTCTTTCACCCACGCTTTTGAGCAATAACTTCTCAAAACATAAGATAAAGAGTTAACTTACCATACAGAATCTAATTTTCTAAAATAAGATCTTAAAAACCAGTGATTTTAATTAGAATCACCATATCATTAAGACATTTTTGAAGTCGTTTCCTCCATGTGGTATGAAGGGAGACATCTATTGAGAAAAATAAAATGTAATTGATTCAAATAAACATACACCCTCCAATAAAATTTGCAATATCCATTTAATCATGTAGATTTAAATGTTTTAACCACATGATTGGTCTATTTATGATTTGATCTCATCGCATTACTATAAGAAGTTGGGTTGTAAATATTGAATCACATGGATATCAGAAATGATAATGTTTATACTCTCATAAAGACATCAAATTTTCTCTGAAATGTTTAACTTGAAAACATATTGTAAGATCTTCTAAAGTTGATTTTGTTTACTTTTGAGTCAGAAAATGCTATTTTTGAAGGCAAGTTGCAACCTCTGCTGCCCCAGTGCTACATATACTGGTATTTGCAGGCCCATGGCCAAGGATTTCCAAAGGGGGGTGGGGGGTCACCATTTGAGGGGAATCACTGTTGACAATTTTGGTCAAAAAATAGCCAAAATCAATTAGAAAGTGATCGGAATGGTGAAAAACTGCAAGATTTTGAAATATTTTTTTGGCCGGGGGGTCGAACCCATCAAACCTTTACATAAACTGATTGCATGAACTGGTATTTGATGTCAATCAAGGCCTTAACCACTATGAGAAAAATGCAATCATTTAATGTTTTACGGAAGGGATGCCGCCAATGTTGAATTTTTTCTGGGTAATAAAAATTCCTGGTGAGAGCCCTGGAACTATAAAAGACCTCAAAATATTTAACAAGAAATGTCATTGTAGATATTAGATATTACACTTTGCTTCATTGCACGATAGATCATGTTTTCTCTTGGGCTTGTTTTCTCGTTTTCTCGTTTTTAAGATCTAAAGTATTTCCAGGTTGAAATTATAGAATACATGGTTATGTATCCTTCGTTTTGATGTATACATGAAGTAACAATTGTAGCTTTTTTAACTTATAAAAGTTTTCTCTTCAGCGCACCATTTATACTACGGATGACCTATGAACTACAAATTGAGACTTGCCCAACCTCGTTAGAAGAAACATCGAAGGCTTTGAAAGCAGTTTTCACAAATATTTTAGCTGAACTTTGTCAGTCTTGCAAATTTGAAAATACAATTAAGTATTGCGGTTCGCCAACAGATGAAGCCATACCTAAACCGGTAAAGCGTTCAACAGAGAGGGTAAAACGTGAAGCTGGGCCTAAATTCGAAACTTTGATTGGAGCTTTAAAATCTGATACAATGGTATATTCAGGATCATTAGAAGACTTAAATAATGAACTGAAGTCATACGCTGATAGAATAAGTACAGCTATAACCTCTACAAGTATATCAGGAATCACTGTCACCGATACTCCCATAGTATTTATAACGTCTAAAGAGGGTGAGTTATTCACTAAATGTTTTTATTTGCACGCATATGGTGTTACATATTAAGCCTGAGGCACAGTGCAATATTTACCTTTGAGTCGCTGTTGGACGGTTTTATGCATGTGTTTTCAGCTTTGTTGTTAGAATGAGTTGGAGATTTTGAATAAAATAGTGACACACAGATTAGGGTAGTTTTTTCTAGCATTTTACTTACCCAATGAGACATTATTGCCATTGGATGCATTCGTATTAATTGAGAATGCGAATTTCTATGTTTCACTAAAACGTTTACACTATTTTTCTTTTTAGGAAAATGTGTCTTATATTCGGACCTTACTTATGAACTTAAAACAATAAATCGGTATGTTTTGATTACGCATTTATATGAAGTAGTTTTTAATAACATGGGGAAAAGCTTTTGAAAAAGCTTCGGCTAAAATGATTAAAATAATGACTGTGAAGAAATATTTGTATCCCATTTCATCTTAGTAGTCTTGACATGAATCTTTATAAGATGGACTCATTATCTCGAAAAATTCTTTGTTTTAAATAATTTTCGTACTTTCGAAACACCTGCATGGAACTAACTCACTGATTGAACTGACATAATAATGATGCGTGTTTTAGGAATGGAGAAATGTGCATCGACGAGATTGGAGTTTGTTTCACAAGCGGGCCATTTGGCATGTTTCCCGAAACGCCCAAAAATATAGAACTCAGTATGTACCTGTACACACGTGAGAGTAGAGAGTCATGGAACTGTCTGTCACCTGAGTTCTCGACTGGGTATGATGCATTTCTTTATCTACGCTGAGCTAGACATACCGTCGTGCTCGCATATACAAATACAGTTGCAACCAAACAATTTTGAATAATTTCCGTTTTTGTTCTGTTGCAGAACCCTGAAACAATACTTTGAATTGAAATGGAGACCATCCTTGATTTATTTGTACTTAAGTCGAATCCTATCCAAGTCCAACAACAAGATTCGAGAAGTACTATAACACATTATCTCTCCTGTCAAGTCCCGATTTAAAACGGAAGAAATCCCGATTTTAGTGCTAGACCCATATTTCTTTCCCGATTTTTACAAAATACATACTAAAATTCATAGCACCAAAATATGGTTCTACAACAGGACACTTGGTTATGGTTTGGTTATTACCAATAACAATTCCCGTGCTTTAGCCATGATATCGCCGAGAACGCCCGAGGTATCACGAGGACTGGTAAGTACCAGTTTAGTAATCCTTTTATACTTGTTTATTCTTACAGTATAACCATCAACCCAAATAAACCAACTAAAGTGATTGTGCATGGCTATAATGCAGATGGATACGATACCACGGATTGGCCTCATCAAATGAGAAGGGAGTTGCTTAGAGAGGTAAGTTTTAATGGTCGAATAGTATCCTAATCGGCAACATTTATCTAATCAAATGAGAGTGAGTATATAAATCTTGGGATTTGTCATGCATTTCGCTTATGTTTTTCATTCAAAAAACATCAATACACTTTGAAACATTTTATTGACTATAAGATTGCACCATATAATCTAAAAGAAATATTTCTCATTTTAAGGATCAACTATGGATTAACACCCAGGTATTTTCATTCTTAAAATTTCAGAGGCTAAAAACTCCCAAGATTCATTCGACAAACAACTACCCTTCTTTACTTTGAATGTTTTTTAAACCTGTTTATGTGATAAATTGACTTACTTAAAGGCAGAATCAGATATATAGGATTAAAAAATTACAAGCAACTTGTATCTTTTTCAGGGGCACCACTGGATTATGAAACTTTGCAATCTCATGTGACTTTCTATAAGGCATAAAATGATATATAACACGATAGAGTAGCAATGCTACATGTATGAGTTTATGGGGGGTGCATACATATGAAACACACTGTATAGTCGAAATGTCAATGTCTTTTTACAATCACAGATATAACTTCTCCCAAAAGATCTATGATTTATCAATTTGTGAAACTATTTAAATTTCAAAATGCAATAATGAGAGAAATATTTAAATCATTCTAAATAATTGTAGTAACCACACAGTCATGTATTTATGGAAAATTAATGCATTATTGGAAGAATCTTCAGTTTTCCTGAAATATAAGCTTCAAGGTAAATTGTACATTTGGAGGGTTTTTAGAAGAATAGACACGCTGACAAGGAATGATACCAAACTAAATCGAATAACATTTATTAACGTGGTGAAAATGGTGATGGCAATTACTTCTAGATCTTATACTACCTTTAAAGGATTGGTATTGATATGGTAAACTAAATTCAACATTGTTTTATTACTGAAAGCATTCTGTAAAAAACACCAATTTAATAAGAAAAACATTTATATTATTCTATATAACTGTTTTTGTTAACATTTTTTGTTTTTTAGTGCAATTGAAAATTACATGTAGAACATTTTCTTAGACCTCTTAATATTATAGTTATACAAAGGAAAGTTTGGTTCATTTAACAAAAAAAATATTCAAACAATTGAAACAAAAACCAAAAATACACTTTTTTAAATGAACCAAACTTTCCTTTGTACAATAACAAGATTGAAAATCTTGTGTGTTTTCAAAAACAATATAGAGAAAAAGTATGAATGTGTTTTTCAAATTGTTACAATTCAAAAGATCACCATTAAATTGACGATGTGTACAATGTTCAGAATTTTTCGATGACTGGTTTAAGAGAAACGTGTGTTCAATTCAGTTTACCATATCGAAACCAATATTTTAAGTCTCAATAAGTCATTTCAAGTACTAGTATGACTATTATGATATGCTTTTTCAATTTTTAGGGCGATTACAATGTTATTATTGTTGATTGGTCTGAAGGGGCTGAAGTAAAAGCGCTCAAATTATCTCTAGGATTACTCTCTATTGGGATAAAACAAATCGGCGCAGGTATAGTCCTCACCATTCAAGGAATAAGGGAGTTATATGGTGCAGCTGCCACCAATACCCAATTAGTAGGTCATATGATTTACTCAGTGCTGAAGCAGAAGAATGTTAATATGGGTAATGTTCATTGCATAGGCCATAGTCTAGGTGCCCACGTATGTGGATTTCTTGGTAAATCAGCTGGAGAGAAGACTATTGGCAGAATATCAGGTAATTCATATTGATTCATAATATTAATATTAAATAATTATATTATTCCATAATAACATGTTTTCCCCGGGAAAATAACAGGGAATAAAATTGATATTCAAGAAATCCCGTATTGGATTTTGTATCAGTAAAAATCCCGTATCAGATCCCGTTTCAGAACTATTCCAGGTAATTTCTAATTTCTGAAAATGTTATATGATAAATTGTATGCTTTTATGTCACAATCATTGGGTGATGACATACAAAAATTAGAAATAAATATGTTTTAGAAAATTATTATAGAAGAAATAGGTTATTGATGGTCGTGATGGAATATGAATTTGTTCCTTGAGAAAATATGATTTTGGCCTCGGAAGATATCACATTGACTCTCGGGCTATCTCCCCCGGTCAATATGATATTTTCCTTGGCAAATATCATATTTTCCCTCGGAATAAAATTCAATTTAATTAAACTAGGACATGTGAAATATATTGCCTTATTTCGTTAAAAAGATTTTGAAAAGCTCTAAAAATTAAGAAATAATAAATTTTGAAAATAAAATGTACATCCTTTAAGGACTCACAAGACGTAAAAATGCTAAAGATGTATAATTAATACCAAAATGAAACAATGGTTGTGAACTAATGTAAATTATAGGCCTACTTGATCAGTTCACTGGAACGTAGATAGTTTAATATTAATCCTTTTCCGAAATAGTCGATTTAGATGTCTTTTTGCAATCATATTTCAGGAATGGATCCTGCAGGACCAAAGTTTGAAGGGAACAACGTTGAATTCAGACTTGATCCCTCTGATGCTAAATTTGTTGATATTATCCATACAGATACGGATATGTAAGCCATTTATGAAGTTATAATTTACAATTTAAAGTTTGCATGAGACCCCAACGCGGGCATAGGTAGGGAATCTGACAATAACAAATTGTCATGACTAATTCCGTACCAATTGGTAAATCTTGAATTCGATAAAGTGGTCACCAGCCCGGGCCCTGCCTCTCCCCCGAATCTGATATTCTTTTTTATGTACACTGTACCATAGGATACATCTCATGTTTAGAGATACATTAATTTGTTCATGTATATGGTCACATTATTTTTCGCTAAAAGCCCGGGAAATGTGAATGATATATGAATAACATGTTCTCAAATATATTCAAACATATCAAATTTTTCAGATTTGGTTATTTGAAACAACTTGGCCATGTAGACTTTTACCCGAATGGAGGTCGGGACCAGCCAGGTTGTTTCCTTATTGTCTGTGACCACTCGGTTGCTATTAAACTCTACCTTGAATCAATAGACCAAACCTGCATCTTCTATTCAACACAATGCAGTTACAGTAAAATCAATGAAAAGGATGGTGATGTGAGTAATTGTAAATCTTAATATTCAGAAGGTATTCATTTTGGAATTCAAGAAAAGTTCAATTAAAAGTAAAATTTCAAACTAGTCAAATAAATAACCGCATTTGCACTAAGCTTCAAATATACTGTTAAAAACTATGAGCTTTAAGAATCAGACCTCTATCGTATTTTTCACTGAATACAAAAATAAATATGACCCCTTTCATCCCCAAGGCATACCTGTCAAGTAAAAAAAAATCGGGATATTTTCGTTTTAAAAATCGGAAGAAGTTGTGATTTTTTTAGAAAAATCGGGTGAAAATCAGGATTTCTATAAAAAAATCTGAATTTTATAAAATAACTTGAGGAAATCCGGAGTTTGCAATGAAAAATCGAGAGAAAATCGGATCATCGGAGAGAAGCGCGAATATATTATTCATGCAATTAAAGTCCTGTTTTGTTTGAAAAACAACGAGAAATATACGATATAGAAGCAATTTCTCATTCGTTGGACTCTTCAAACAAAAAATGACACATAACCATGTATTTCGAAAATAATCACTATATATTGTTGTGTTCAGGCCACACGGTTTGTTGCTATGAAGTTTTAGATTGAAAATATTAACCGATTGTCAAAATATTTTTTTGATTGAAAATATGATTGATTTCCTCATTCTTGGTGATTCAAGGATTGAAATCTAATTTTGCATTCAGTGAAAATTCGAATGGAGGTTGGATTCTCTCAAAGCTGACACACTCGGCTTTTCAACGGTGTATTAGAACCTTGGTGAAGAAAGGTAGTTTGAAAATCATTTAGGAGAGCATTCTGAGGCTCAATTTTGCACAAGTAGCCTTTTGTGTGTTAAAACCTGTATACAACATATATTTTAACGTTTGCATTTCATAGATATGTTATAATAGAACTGTCGATTCATGCTCGATGAACGTGATGGGGTACTATTCCGATAGATTTATGGACCGACACGGGGCGTTTTATCTCAAGACTAATAAAAATAAACCAAGATGCAATTTCTGCGGTAAGATACATTTTATAAGGTTGCTAACAGCAACCTTATCAGCTAAAGTTATTGTTCATTATATACATAAATGACAAACGAAATTGAATCATCATGCATTTGTCTAATACATGTACCTATTGTTATATGATCCTAAAACATTCGAGTTGTAAACTACACTATAATTACTACACCACCTATGTTTCAGTAACAACATCACCATGTGACACTACGCAGGGCGCGACAGGTAGCACGATTTAGCATTTTTATAATTTTGCAATTAATAGATTTGATAGATCACAAGATCAAGCTAATCTTATTTGAACAATTTAATCTGAATGAAATCTACTTTATTGAACAATAGTAAGTTCAATAATGCAGAAATATTCATTGTTTCAAAGGCAATGAAATAACGGTAGTATTCATATTAGTAGTATATTGTAGGTAGAGTGATTCGGAAAATACCAATTCCAATTAAAAAAGCAAAAGCATGTTAATTAAAGTATCTAGGCCAAAACCATGTTATTTCTCAATATTATTTATTATTATTAACTTTCAGAGGAGTATGACGATGGTAAATGTGAATGTCTCAAAGGAACGTGTAAGTCAGTTGCTAATGGTTGCAATGGGGGAAACTTTTACACAGGAAAGTGTGGAGGCCCGGTAGATAGAAAGTGTTGTGTACCAACATACCCTAACTATAACGACGTATCGTGTGTATCAAGGCAAGGGGTGTGCAAGATAACTACAGTTGAGACCTGTAACTGTGGACAATTCTATTCCGGTCTTTGTGATGGACCCTCGCATAGGCAATGTTGTATCTCTGAATAGTTAATTATGTGGATCGATTCTATTCAGATTGTATAATTACTAGCCCTCATTCAACAAAGGATTTTTGGTGATTAAGAATTTGTACGGATACTCTATGCCTTAAACATAGATAGCAAAAAGCAATAATAAGATTTTCAGATTTTTCTAAAATGTTGACTATCTATGTCTTGATTGATATAGAATTTTATCAAATATCAGAAAGTTCACAAGAACATATATTTTCTGAATGCTTGAGCCATAAACCTTTTGGAAATTATATTGGGCATGTATATAAGGCAGCAGGTATGGGTATGGTAGTCCATGGAGATGAATCGAAAAAAAAATATTTTGTACTTTGTTTCCAGATAATCTCACATTGTGTAAATCCATGTAATTGCATGTAAGCTATATAGATAAGTGTATAAATGTGTATAAACTCATCAACCACTAGTTTAAGTTTATTTCCACATCGCCCATAGCTGGTAATATTGAGAGTGCAAGTTACAAATACAAAGTACATAAAATAAAAAATTAGACATTATAATACAATAAATGTACAACATACAATTAACATTAACAAGTTCACCATAATATCATTACACTATGAACTTCAAATTCTTAAATACATTTTCAGCAATTTATTGAGATATTAAAATGTGTCTTAAACAATATGTTAATGAAAACATTTATAAGAAATTGAATGTAAATACATCTACATGTAAATAGAAATGTACAGGGATTGAAGATTTCGAGGTGTCAAACTTTGCCTACTTTAAACTCATTTAATTGGTTTGCTCCATTTCCTTGGAAATGAATATACAATTGTGCAATTAAGATTGCAGTCTTCAATGAATATCTCCCCATCTAAAGATGACAACCATCATTTTCTCTTAGTGACATGATGACACCTAATATTGCAATCTTCAATAAATATCTCAACAACTTAAAATGACGCCCATGAGAGATTGAGCATAATAGTTAAATAACGCCCACCATTTATTACTCTTAGTGACATAATGACGCCTAAGATTGCAGTTTTCAATAAATATCTCACCAACTTAAAATGATCTATCATAAGGAGGTACTCCTATTGTGCTCTGGTGAGGCAAATGTACTGTACCTAATTAACCCTTACCAATGTTCTTTGCACTGACATTTGTTATATTAAATAGAATACATGTACACTTTTTATTTCAGATTAAAATATTTGCTGTAAAACTTTATTATTCATTACATCATTTGTGTTTAAAATATAGTGAGGTCAAAATAAATATATATAATTTAATCATTATTAGAAATATTCAAAACCATAAACAAAAAAGCATTGCTTAGAAAACATTCAACATTAGTTGGGGTTGAGTTGACCAATGGTTGGTTTGAATTGGGGTTGACAAATCCAGGTTTGAGTTGACTAAGAGTTAAGTTGAGTGGGGTTGAGTTGGCTCAATGTTCAGTAGTTACCAGTTGAAATATGTAAACCATATGTATGCACAAATGTCAATTAAAATACCAGAAATCCTTACAGAACATAGCAACAATGCCACCTGCCTTATGCCAAGGTCACATTTGCCCCGATTCATCGGCCAGCGCCCGGCCGATAGCAGATTTCAACTTGATTTCAACTTGTCTTCCACTGAACCGGAGCAAGTGATCTAGGCATAATGCTGCATATTATTCTGTAACACCAATTCTGAATACACTACAAATTTTGATCAATCAAAGGATAGGTATCGATATGGTGAACTGAATTCAACAATGTTCTCTTAAACGAATCATTGAAAACACAGATGCAAAAAACACGGTTCTTTATGTAGTGTTGACTGATTGGCAACAATTTGATGCCAAAATTATTTATATATATTTTATATAACTGTTTTTGTTAACATTTTTTTGTTATTTAGTGCAATTGTTTTTTGTTTCTTTCTACCAATTCTTGAGAATGAAATACCATGTCTTTCCGAACCTTGTTGGAACATAATAGCATATACAAAATGTTCTTGGACCTCTCAATACTGTAGTTATACAAAGAAAATTGTGGTTGATTTAACAAAAAGTATGCAAACACTTAAAACAAACCCCCCAAAATAGATAAAAATTAAGATAAACCTTTTATTTCATTGACAAGATACTTTTTAAAAATCAACCAAACTTTCCTTTGTACATTTACAATATTGAGAGACCTAAACACGCTGTGTTAATGTCGTTTTGTTCCATTGGGATTCCGATAGATGTTTCATTTCATTCCGAACATATGATACCAAGAACGAAAGAAGTATCTGCTATGTTTTCTAAAAGAATATAGAGAAAAGTATATATATATACCAGAAGCGATGGGAAATAGTTACATTAAAGACGACATGGATTTCATAAAGAAATTACCCAATCTTACTACTAACTCTTCTACAATGCTGGTATCATTTGATGTAGTAGGATTATACAGCAATATTCCGCATGAACTAGGTTTACAAGCAATATCTTATTGGTTGGATAAATACGATAATGACATCATAAAACGGATTTCTCCTGATTTCATTATGAAAGCTATAGAATTAATCCTCGAAAATAACTTTCTTCAATTCGATAACGAAGTGTTCCGACAACTGAAAGGAACAGCTATGGGAACAAAAATGGCCCCGTGCTATAGTAATTTAACTTTAGCGTTTGTGGAAGAGGAATTAATGGATGAGATGCAAATAACATTTCCCGAAGATATTGCCAAATTCATTCAAATTAATTGCAGACGATATCTGGATGATTGCTTTATTCTTTGGCCTTTCTCTGAAGAAAGATTGAAAGCCTTTCACATGGTTCTAAACAGTATTGATGACAATATAAAATATACATGTGAAAGTAACAGAAACCAACTCCCGTTCCTCGATATCATGGTTAAAATAAAACCTGGAGGTGAAATCGCAACAGACATTTTTAGAAAACCAACTGATACGCAACAATATTTGAACTTTAACTCATGTCACCCACACCATGTTAAGATCAATTTACCGTATAACTTAGCCCGCCGTATCATCTGTATTGTAAGTGAAGAAGAAGTGCAAATTGAAAGATTAACCGAATTGGAGATTACACTGATATCACGTGGTTACCCCAGAGGCCTGATACACGATGCAATAAAAAAAGCCAGAGAATATACTAGACATGATCTACTATACGGAAACAACAATGACAACAAAAAGGGTGATAAAAAAATCCCTTTTATTTCAACATTCAACCCTAGAAACCCAGAAAATGCAGTTGTTCTTAACAATGATACAAAAATGAGAGACGTGATCACTAAAAAACCATTTTTAAAGAGTAAACGTCAAAGCAGAAACTTGAAAAGAATCATAACTTCTTCTGCTTTCAAATCTAATAAAGAGGATATAACTGTGACCAAATGTGAAAAACCAAGATGTGGCTGCTGTGTTCATATTTCTAATGATATTAAATACAATGGCAAAACATTCAACGCCAAGGTATCAATGAATTGTGAATCAAGAAACTTATTATATGCCATGAAATGTGTTGGATGTAACGAGATTTACATTGGACAAACGGGCGACAAACTTCGGAACAGGGTCCGGGTCCATAAGCAACAAATTCGTGACCCTACTGTCCGTATGTTGCCAGTAAGCGAGCATATTGATAATTGTGCTACTGGACATGAACCAAAATTCACAATAATGCCTTTTTTTAAATTTCATGAAGACGATATCGAACAAAGAATCGCCATGGAAAATCATTTTATTAACATTTTTCAACCCAAACTAAACAAATAAATTATTTATTGGTTACTATACATGTAACGGTTAAATTGTACGTGATGGATAAATACTACCGACAATAATTAATTGTATTAATATTACGTCATATACCTTTTTACCTGTATATTTTTAAACCAAAAATAAACAAATAAATTGTTTATTGGTTACTATATAAGCGGATTATATTTATATTACGTCATACTTACCTGTACACTCTTAAAAATGAATTACTTGAGTATTTCCAAAGTATAAAAATTACTTAAAGTTAAATACTTAGTTTTACTTCATTTTACTTAGGTTTAACTTATATTGTCATTTTGAGTTTTTTAATTGCTTAATTATGTAAATGAGTATTATAATTACTACAGTAAGTATTTCAATTTCTCTCCTTGCATTAGTAAATTCACCATAAATGAATTACTTAAAAATTACTTAAAAATTATTCAGTAGTTCAAGATTATTTAAGTAATTTTTGACTTAAAATGAGTAGTACAATTTCTCAATATAAGGAAATCCAAGTAATAATTTTTAAGAGTGTATATATCTTAAACCAAAACTAAACAAATAAATTGTTTATTGGTTTCCATGACGTTTAATTAATTATATTAATATTACGTCATACTTACCTGTATACCTCTTGTTCTCATTTTTGAAAAATCTACTGAGGAATAAAGAAACATGTTTAGATTTTCAAACGTATTTTATTAGTTCTTCTTATTTTTACTTATATATATATATATATAATTCAAATTATAATGTTACCATCCAAAAAATAATCATTAAATCTTCAGAATGTTTTGATGGCTGGTTTAAGAGAAACGCGTGTTCAAAAAGTTTACCATATCGATACCACTCCTTTGATAAGGCATTGTTTATTATTATCTCTTATTTATATATACACTACAATGTATTAGTGTAAAAAACTGGAATCGAGCTATTGAAAGGGCCTACATTTTATCAATATGACATTAATGGTAGATAATTCTCAATTGCTCTTATTGTTAAAACAATGATATGATTTTTTTAAGTTTCTGTTTGCCTTACATAGCGGGTATCTTTTTGCAGTTATACTCAAGTACCTGACAATTTCAGATAGCTTTATATATAAATTAGTGCATTGTTAAAAAACGTTTTGCAAAAATACATATATACTACTATATATAATTATATACTATACTATATTAAACCAGTCATTCACATTAAACCGATCCTTTAATAGCAGGGGTCCAAGATCCAGAATATTTTCTATCTCATACCCTCGTGAAGGATGAATGTGTTCCATAGCCTTGCAATTGGAGGATAATATTCAATTAATATATCTTTTTACAAACACTTACACATTATTAGTGGTTTACTGGTTGTAAAAGAGTGTAACATGCATCATTATATTTGCCCCCATATTGGGCTCCACTTGTTAAAGCAAGTGGAGTGACCCCATCTTTATCAAATACAAAATGTGGACGTTCACGACGCGTGAATTCAAATTCAGTGCCATCCGTAAACTGGACCTTATTTCCAAAAGCCCTACCACCATATTGCCAGTTTATACCATCAGGGCTAAAAGCATGTCCTCCAACACTTTCCTGTACGTTACTTGGATACTTGTTGTGAAATATCGCATGGAAATTTCCCCTTTTGTCAATGTACACAAATGGGTCTTCGGTCCCTGGAGCTGGAAGGAAAGGCCAGAGTTCTTCAGGATTTTGCTTGTAAGTGCTTGGATCAAGATAGCTTTCAGCCCTTAACAGGTGTATCCTAGATCCTCTCGGCCCCCATGTTCTGCTAAACCCAACCAGAGTTCCATTTTTGAGGATAACCATCGCAAGGTTGTTATCACCTGGAGCTGTAGGAAAGATCACAACAGGCTTAGACCAGGGTCCCCTAGGGCGTGGAGCCATGCTCATGTACGTTGTGAAGGTAATCACTCCGGGTTGACAACTGGGAGGGGTAGACCCATCAGAACAGTTACAAAGTGTATCATTGTTCTTATGCTTCATAGCAGACCAGTACATGATCGCCTCTCCTCTGGGCCCATTGATGACATCTGGCTCATGAGCAAAGGGTGGTTGCTGCTCTTCAATGCGTTTATATTTCCCCGTCGGCGTTTCAGACATAGCATGTACAATACGACTGTTCACTATCCAAGAATTTATACCACAATGTCTAGTCATTTCGGCAGGAAACATGTGATATGTACCATCAACAGGATCACGTACGACAGGACCGCCCCAGCTTGAAGTCGGAGCACCATCATCCATTTGTTTGTACCCCGTGTTTTTATTTGCTGGGAGTAGATTTAACACATCACAGTTATGTAACATCCATGCCGGGTCACACTTACACATCCCATCCAGGCATTCACCATTCAGACTACAGTCCATGTTGCTTCTACACGGCCATAGGATTCGTCCCGAGTCGATATCTTCTTGCTTCATAGGTGACCACTGGAGGTCTTCCATTCTCCCAAAGCATTGTCCATTGTATCCTAGAAAACATTATAGTATTGCTAAACCCTTGGTCCCTAGTCAACTCAATCTAAAGTGATTTCTAAAAAAGTATATATATACGAAATTAAATTAATTTCGAATATTCCTTATACTTACATGTAAGAACCATAATAAATAGTGTACATATTGCATTGATAAAATATGTGAATATCAATTTAACAGTTATAATAAACATGACCTTTTCAAAGAATTTTATTTATTTGCATACTTTGAAGTGTTTGTTCCACTCTAAGGTTGTAAAACCAAATGTTGTAACCTTTAATTTCGTAAATTCTGTGATTTAAAAGGGATGCTACATGTATATATTACACCTTCCAAAAGTCTCAAATTAAATCAGATTAACTCGTACCAAAGTGAAAAATACAGTTCAAACCATACCTGTAAACTTTAGAGAGTAATAAGTATATGACCAACATCTTTCTGCCTGTTTAATACATTCTTTTTCACACTCTTCCGTTGTGTTAAAAGTCCCTAAATAATGCACCGAGCCTTTTGACGTCATTGGATCAACTCTATCATATACATTGTTTGCATCTGGTACTCTTAGCACTTTAACTGATGAAGCATAAACAGATGCATTGAATGCAGTAATGCAAACGAATATGCAAAAAATCGTCTTCATTTTGTTCATGTTCCTTGAATATCTGCTTGAGAAGTATCTACCTTTCGAGTTGTTCCTTTAGAATAATTGATTAAGTTATTTCTCATTTATTCATTAACTTTGGTGTACATTCGTGTGATGTATTTTGTGATTTTGAAGTGTGTGATTAATATAGTAGTACTAATATCTTTATTTCTTATCTTATTTAAGTAGGTATTGTATACAAATGAAGTTATTGTTTATCTTGTATATACCATGAAGAATATACCCTCATAGTTTTCATACCTCTTATAGAGTTATCTTTTCGTAAGGTTTCGCAAAGTATCTATCACATGATACAGGCAAGTGCTATACAATCTATTGAATACTGTCTACATCAAGACCATGGTTACATCGAAAATGTGATGTGAGAGAGCTTTTAATATAAGTTTTCAGCCAAACTTATACAGCAACTTTAGTTTGTTCCCAACCGCTTTCATAACTGCCTTATAAAAATTAATTACCATCAAGGTAATTTTTATTACGTAATCACAACCATTGCTACGTCATATTATGTAATATTATGTTATATAATTTAGAAGTTATGCTTTTATAATATATATATATATATATCTCACACACAAAACTTATCTTTTCTGTGGTTTATATTCATCATATAAATGACAAATGGCGAGGAAGATTTCTAAAAAAACAGCAGAAAAGTACATTTAATTAGAAAATTGTCCTAGTTTCCTATTCGGGGGAATTGATTTGTGAAAATCCCAGCAATGGCAGAATTAATTGTTGTAATCATATTCTAAAAACTGGTACTCAAGAACTACATGATTGGCAAATATTTTGCTGTGATTTGAAGGATACAAGCATCCTATTTTCGTTTCCAGAGTTCCTCCACAGTGCTATTACCGACAAATACAAGTACATATTACACGTAACTTATATCAAAAGCTCTTTATTTTCTAAGGAGAATTCATTGCAAAATAGTTTGGTAAAAGAGGCTGCGTTTTCGAACTGCCAACGGCGCAAGTCAGTTGCGTAATATTTAAGATACGAAAAAGAACAATGTGGTCAGCGGGGCAAATTACATGGAGAAACGTTTTCGACAAAAACAGGTCATCCATGTGCTCTTATACTACGGAAAGCTATAGGGGACATGCGCATAATTCAAAATCGAATGGAGTTTTAACATGGGAGTGATATCACACACCGCGGCCCAGTCAGATAGATTTCATCGCGCACTGAATGAATTACAGGGGCCGCGTTGTGCAAAGTTAATTAAAATAAAGTGCGCAGAAATTCCGGCATTCAGTGCGCGATGAAAAAATGATTATCTGTGAATAAATAACGAATAAAAATTCGTGGCACCACGAATTTGATTTTTTTCGAAAGACTGCGGAGTGAACCAGCGAAATGACAATTTTGGATAATATTGATGGCTCTAACGAGGAAAACTTTGAAATTTCCCGATTCTACCGCGCAGCACATCCAGGACCATGATGCGCACTTTTATCAGATTCGATTCTAATATGGTTTCAAAGATAATGTTCATTAAAAGAGGGCGTATGCATACAGATTACACATGGCGTTATGTTGAAGTGACCCTTGCAAAGGGTTCCATTGAAAATATATTATTTTGGGCCATTTCATATCTTTTAATTGATATTGTATAAAATATTTTCAATGTTTGAAAATTATAATCTTATAAATAAGATTTTATGTAATAAAACTGTAACGAAATGGTAAATACGGAATATGATGCAACACAATGCAGTGCAATATGATGTTATACAATGCAGTGCAATATGATGCAATACAATGTGGTGCAATATGATGTAATACAATGCGGTGCAATATGATGCAATACAATGCAGAGCAATATGATGCAATACAATGCAGTGCAATATGATGCAATACAATGTAGTGTAATATGATGCAATACAAAGCAGTGTTATATGATGCAAAAAATGCAGTGCAATATGATACAATACAATGTAGTGCAATATAATACAATAAAATGCAGTGCAATACGATGCAATACAATACAGTGCAATATAATGCAATACAATGCAGTGCAATGCAATACAGTGCAAAAAAATGCCGTGCAGTGCAATACAATGTAGTTCATTTCAATACAATGCAGTGCAATACAATGTGGTACAGTGCAATACAATGCAGTGCAATACATCGCAGTTCAATACAGTGCAATACAATGTAGTGCAATGCAGTGCAATAAAATACAATACAGTTTGAACTGGGTGGGGGATACAATTACCAGTCTGCTGATTGATGACTTAATAACTTAGAAAAGATCTCCTAGCTTTTAACAGGTGGCACTTATGTCTACCTTATGTTCTTGAACAATCTCGTCTAAGAATACAGACCCGTATCCTGGATTAACCTGGGGGAGTGGTTTTACCAAGGGGGAGATTTTGCCAAGAGGGGGGAGCTTTTTGACAGTTATGGCAAAAAAATCATGCGAAAAGTGCTAAGAATGGTGAAAATCTGCATGATTTTGAACGAATATTTGGCAAGGGGGAGGGGGGTGAGGCCCCCTGGCTACGGCCATGGAATACATATAGGAACTTTCCTTCTCCCAGAAGAAATGGTATACAGGTATTACATCAATCATTCTGGTATTTTGTATACGAAGGTCTGTAGTTACTTTATTGAAAGATGGCAGTGTACACTGTGTACTACCATTTTGAGGTCAGTTTGACTTTATAATTCTGCGCACTATAATCTGTAATTCTCATAGATATCCTCTCTAGAGGCATCACTGTGATCCAAAATTACAATTTCGCAGGTCAAGTCTGCAGTCTTTCGAAAAAAGTTGAATTCGTTGTGCTACCCTTTCTTGTTGGGCATTTATTAACAGAAAACTATAATTACATCGCGCCAGCATATACAAGCTTCAGCGCGATATTTTGAGTATGTTAATAAATAAAGTGCGCAGAAATCGATCTTACTTGGCCGCGGTGTGCGATATCACTCATAAACAATTTTTAATTGCGCACTGAATGAATTACAGGGGCGCGTTGTGCAAAGTGAATTAAATAAATAAAGTGCGCAGAAATATATCTGACTGGGCCGCGGTGTGTGATATCACTCCCATGTTAAAACTCCATTGAATTTTAAATTCTGCGGTATATCCCCTTTCGCTTTCCGTACTTATACTCATATAATTCATTTAAAAGAAACCTAGCTTATAGCAAGCGACCAGGCAACGTGAATGTTATTGACAATATTGTCACAGCGTAATTAAGCAGTGCATATGCGCTCGGATGAGCTGTTTCGTACGGAAAGCGAAAGGGGATATACCGCAGAATTTAAAATTCAATGGAGTTTTAACATGGGAGTGATATCACACACCGCGGCCCAGTCAGATATATTTCTGTGCACTTTATTTATTTAATTCACTTTGCACAATGCGCCCCCTGTAATTCATTCAGTGCGCAATTAAAAATTGTTTATGAGTGATATCGCACAACGCGGCCCAGTAAGATCGATTTCTGCGCACTTTATTTATTAACACACTCAAAATATCGCGCTGAAGCTTGTATATGCTGGCGCGATGTAAATATAGTTTTCTGTTAATAAATGCCCAACAAGAAAGGGTAGCACAACGAATTCAATTTTTTCGAAAGACTGCAGACTTGACCTGCGAAATTGTAATTTTGGATCACAGTGATGCCTCGAGAGAGGATATCTATGAGAATTACAGATTATAGTGCGCAGAATTATAAAGTCAAACTGACCTCAAAATGGTAGTACACAGTGTACACTGCCATCTTTCAATAAAGTAACTACAGACCTTCGTATACAAAATACCAGAATGATTGATGTAATACCTGTATACCATTTCTTCTGTGAGAAGGAAAGTTCCTATATGTATTCCATGGCCGTAGCCAGGGGGCCTCACCCCCCTCCCCCTTGCCAAATATTCGTTCAAAATCATGCAGTTTTTCACCATTCTTAGCACTTTTCGCATGATTTTTTTGCCATAACTGTCAAAAAGCTCCCCCCTCTTGGCAAAATCTCCCCCTTGGTAAAACCACTCCCCCAGGTTAATCCAGGATACGGGTCTGTATTCTTATACGAGATTGTTCAAGAACATAAGGTAGACATAAGTGCCACCTGTTAAAAGCTAGGAGATCTTTTCTAAGTTATTAAGTCATCAATCAGCAGACTAGTAATTATATCCCCCACCCACTTCAAACTCCATACACTAACATACTATTAAAATTTTATCTGTGTTTATTTGACTGTAGAAGGTGTACATTCATAGCATTGAATTGCATTTCATTGCATTGTATTGTATTGTATAGCACATCATTGTATTGTATTGTACTGCATTTTATTGTATTGCACTGCATTGTATTGTATTGCACTGCATTGTATTATATTGCATTATATTGTACTGTATTGCACTGTATTATATTATATTGCACTGCATTGTACTTTATTGCACTGCATTGTATTGTACTGCAGTGTACTACATTGTATTGCGCTGCATTGTATTGTATTGCACTGCATTATAATGTATTGCACTGTACCACATTGTGTTGCACTGCATTGTTTTGAATTGCACTGCAATATATTGCACTGCACCATATTGTATTGCATTGCATTGCAGTGCACTGCATTATATTATATTGCACTGTATTGTATTGCACAGTATTGTATTGCATTGTCTTGAATTACACTGCATTGTATTTTATTGCACTGCATTGTATTGTACTGCAGTGTACTGTATTCTATTGCACAGCATTGTTTTGTATTGCACTGTATTGAATTGCACTGTATTGTATTTTATTGCACTGCATTGCACTACATTGTATTGCACTGTATTGAACTGCGATGTATTGTATTGCACTGTATTGTATTGCACTGCACTGAACTGCGATGTATTGTATTGCACTGTATTGTATTGCACTGCACTGTATTGAACTGCGATGTATTGTATTGCACTGCATTGTATTGCAGTGTATCACATTGTATTGCACTGTACCACATTGTATTGCACTGCATTGTATTGAAATGAACTACATTGTAACTGTATTGTATTTTATTGCACTGCATTGCACTACATTGTATAACACTGTATTGAACTGCGATGTATTGTAT